CCCCCCCCACACATACATATCTCTTTTCACCTGTATCAATAGTTCCCGTCATGTTTTAGCGTCTATTTTATTGCCAGTGGCGAATAATATTCGCACACACATCTGCCAAACAGAAATTTATGTCGCACAAGTGCTGCAGAGCGGGAAGACAATGACGTTGAAAAGGTGGGGGTGGGTTAAGGAGAACGAAAAACCAGCAAAAGAGAGTGAGAGGCTTGTACCTGATCCGTGTCCCCAATGCAAATATACTCTTTCACACACTCGCTCACATATGAATGCACTATGTGCTATTGTGATCTACGCCTATGGACAACAATGGCGATCATCATCATCATTGACTACAAGCCATTTATTGGCATATGGGTAGTAGCTTTATATTGTAGTTGTAGTATAGTTGGTAGTGTGGTACTGTGACGATCCAGGGTTGCCGAGGAATGATTCATTATACACATCTCGATGCAAACCATTATGCAAGTATATGCGGCTGATCCTCTTTGGGGTTTACTTTTATACCTAAACAATATAGACTTGTTCCAAAAGAAAACCGAAATGGAGATGTGTATGTGTGTGTGTGTATGAGTGAGTGTGTGGGTACGTTTTGTTATCATCATGGTCCCTCTTTGTAATATGGGGGGAGGGACCAGGAAGTGTGTGTGCGTGTATGTGGGTGGGTGGGTGTGCAGGTAGTAGAATTTTCACTATTCCGCCCGTGGACCTCTTCCGTTTTCACGTCACATGGTGGGTTGGCAATCTCTTGTGCTTTGGTTCCTTTCCGCTTATAACTACTTGTCCCCCACTTCTTTTTCTTCCTTCTTTTTTCAGTTTACTGCTCCCCTTTTTGTAATCCATTCTTTTTCTTTCTTCTTCTTTATACAACAACAACAACAACAACTCACAGGCTTCTTGAACACCCGTTGCACCGGTAACAGTTTATTCCCCGCTGTTCTCCCCGCTAACCTGATGCAACGCAATGCCGATGGACTGAAACTTGACAACCATTACCAGCTCAGGCACACTACTTTGACTCTCTTTTCGTTCTCAACAACAACACCCTTTTATTCATTCACCCACAAAGACCTTGATTGGACAATTCATTGGTATCATGCAAGTGGCTGAGACGACGAGACCATTCTCTTCCAACGAGATTACAACAACAAATGAACGATCGACTACGACTGGGATGACGCAGGTTGTGTCCGAAGAAAAGTACAATCTCTTGAAACGACAGCTTCGCGAAATTACCGAGGTAGCAACCATCCGATAAAATATGCTGGGGGCTAGGCACAGGTTGTGGTAACGGGTTGGTTTTGTACAGCGAAACGAGCTTTTGGTCAACGACCTGAGTCGAGCCAAGAAGCGGTTGAGACGTCTTGCCAAAGAGAAAAAGTAAGTTTTGGTTTATTGTTGTTGCATGATGGCTTCTTCTTTCTTCTTCTTACATTATCCTCTATCAGCATTCTACTGGATAAGCTCTGTCAGTATGACACTCACGCCCGATTCACGCACAAGAAAATATCCCATTCAATTGCACCCACAAGTACCGCAGCATCTACTGCTGTTGCCATGGAGATTGATGATATGGAAACCAATGTCGCTGACAATGGGATAATGATGGATAAAGGTAAGGAGAAGGAAGGAGATGATATGTATTTGGTAAAGAGACCGCGCGTTTTTCTGTTAAATGCTCATTTATCCCCCATACCACCAGTTACCTCCTCCCCACCGCCACAACTTGCACATCCCCCTACTCCTTGGCAGCCACCTCCTGCAGCACAATCACACGTATCAACTACTACCCATCTAACTCAACCACCACTACCACCACCGCAACCACAACAACAACCATCGTCATTATTATCATCATCATCATCGCCACCATCCACTATTACTACTACAACAACAACAACCAATCGTATTGATTCTTCACCTCCCCCACCTCAATCATTGCCACAACCACAACAACCACCACCAACGCAATCAATGCATTCTATCAGCTCCATTCTTTCGCCACAACCTACTTCATCTTCTCCACCACGTTCTATTTCCGATCCAAGCACAGCTTCCTCTTCATCCTCTCAAGGTAGTACAAGCCCTGCAGGTGTCACTGCTACTACTACTGCTACAGGTACCACTGCTGGCATTCCATCAGCAACAATGCAATCAGGTATGGGAGGTCCCAAGGTGGAAATCATGTATCAAGATGGTCGTATGGTGCCTTCATCTCGCCCAAAGAGAATGCGACGTGGTCCTGTTGAACCAAAAATGCGACGTGTGCAACCCCTAGAAAAGGATCCTGTCTCAGGGGAATACAAGCTGCCTGCCCGTGTCGGTATTCTTACAGTGCATTCACTGGGTCGTGTTGTTCCTTTGCCTACTTATCACAATGATCGTTACATTTGGCCCCCTGGTTTCAAAGTAAGCAGGTATGTATATAACCTATACACACATTTACAACATGATGACTCAATGCATACTATATAGAACCTATCTCAGCATGGTGGATCCCAGTGCCAATACCGTGTATACATGCTCTGTGGAAGAGAATGGTGAACAAGGACCAAGAGTATGTCAAACATCATGATCGTCTTTCAAGTATTCTCATATACATGGCATGTGCTTGCTTGTGTAGTTTCGAGTGGTGGCAGACGATTGCCCTGATCAGCCTATCATTGCCAACTCAGCTACTGGTGTATGGACTGCCATTGTCAAGCGAGCCAACGAGATCCGTAACAGGGAACATTCCAACTCTGGCAAGTAGATTCGCTTTGAAGGATGCCATGACCTCCCCCTATTAACACGCATCATACGAATAGCTTCTGGACCTGATTATTATGGCTTCACACACGCTACGATTGCGAAAATGATTCAAGATCTTCCAGGCACTGAGAATTGCATCAACTATGTGTGGCAACAATTTGGCGAAATGCATCAACGTACAGCAGCAGGTGTTGCAGCTGCAGCTGAGAAGAAAAAGATCAATCTGCAAATGATGGCAAGTTGGGGGGGGAGATTTGACAATGAGGATGACATTGTTTTGGCTAATGCGTTGTTGTCGTCCTCCTTTTTTAGGGAAGTGCCAATAAGCGTGCTCCTCCATCAGCAGCAGCGAGTGGTGATGGGTCAAGTAGCAATGGCTCTTCAAGTCCACCTGGTCCAGATACCGTTGCCAACCATGCCTCGTTACCTTCTCTTGCCGAATCAACTCCCATGGATACTGCATCAACCACTACTTCTACTCCTACGACTACCACTACTTCTTCTTCTACAGCACTCTCTGTTGATATGCTCACCACACCTACACCGGTGGATCATCGTCATCACCATCATCACCACCATGCGACCACCCCTGAACCACCTGTCGCCAATGTACAAGCTTTGGAACCTGTACCTGAAAACCATGCTTAGCATCGTTATACATATATACGCGTCCCCCTCATCTATATTTTCTACTTTTATAAACACACACAACAAGTTGCTATTTTTGCATAGTATAAATGCCACAACTAGTTTACAATCACCTGGGGAAAGATACTGAATTTGAGGTTTTACTTTCTTTTGTGTCATCCATCCCTCCTATTCTTCACGTCTATTTCTCGCATGAAAGTATTCTCGTGTAGTATCTGCCGATCGATCCATATTTATATGCGCAAAAAGAATGATCCTTTGAAATTCCTGACCGGAAAAAGACGAGGCGAAGTAAACCACTAGTACGGGTTTCAAAAGCTTATGGGAGCATCCGCCATGATATAAAAAGGAGAACCATCGTTCAATTTCTTATATTCTAGATTATTCGAGTGTCCCATCCACCCGTTTTGGTGTGTACTCCTCTACTCAATTAACGGCCATGTACAATGTACAATGATCATCAAGCAACGCTGAATCCCTTCTTGGTAGTGATAGCTAAAATGCAGCATGGTCAACAAGTATATACGCTTTGTCATCCAAATCGATTCAACACGTAGCTTTTATTGAAGATCATGCCGATCCTTGCGTTACTTTGATATCCAAGGAGCAGGGCATTGGTTGATCTTATCATTGACGAGCTATCATTTGTAGCACCTTAGTATTTGAACATGGTATGCATGCATTGGACCACCCAGCTATATAAACTCTAAAAGGGAAAATATGGTCAAAGAGAGGGTTGTACAAGAAAGGCAACGTTTCCGACAAGTTCCTTAAAACAAGCTTTCAAAGTTGTGGATAAAAGCGGTCATCGGGTGTAGATGTGTGTATATGACACGCTATTTTCCCTGAGCATTTCCCACAGACTTTCAATATATGGGTTTCCCACCATGACACTATTCTTCTTCCCGCTAGCACAACCCATTTCATCATACCACCCATGTACACATGGTCATTGTTTTTCATTACGCATGCACCACCACACTCTATACAGACACACACACACACAAAAGCGCGGGGGAGACAAGATCCTGAATCTTTGATCACGGGTGATGTAAAATGTTTGGAAGTGATTGTAAGCACGCGCGTGTGTGTGTGTGTGGAACCTTCCTTTTCTTTCTTTCCGTTTCAATTGTTTCCATTACAGAATTTCATAACGTTTGTTGTTTCAATCTTTTTGATGGTCTTGTGCGAGGTGCGAGGGCCAAGAAAGCGGCTCGGATCTCAAAAGTGTATGGATGATGATCATGATCAACATGGAATGAATACAGTAATGCGATCTTTTCTTTAGAGGGATATCCCGGATGGTGCAACAATAGAATATGTATATAAGCAAAACAAGCGAAAATCAACATACAAATATATATAGGGGGAGGAAGGCGGGGGAGCTAGTTTTGTTTGGGGTGATTCGAGAGAAAAACAAGAGTATAATAATATATAGAGACAAGGTGGGGGGGGTGGGGGAGGCGAAGGAGAAGAACAAATGAGCAACAACGAGGGTATAATGAATATCATAAGAAGGGCATATATACACTAATGGATGGGGGAAGAAACAAAGAAAGCGTGTGCTGAGGGTGATGATGATACTTCCATTAGGAGGACCATGATGGATAATCCACTGCAGGAGAAGAAGGAGAAGAAGAAGAAGACAATAACATCTTGATGGGTGGTAAGCGGTAAGAAGATGAGGATGAACGATAATCATCATCGGTTGGTGTTGAAGGTGGAGATAGTATTGCTGAAGGAGGGGGAAGTATGAGCGTGGGATCCGGCAAACATAACCCGATCCGATGGGCTGGAGGTAAAGCAGGATGATGATGATGATGTTGATGCTGATGATGATGGGGCGTCCCCAAACTCTGCCATTTTTGGTCAACCATAAACGGTAGGGGCTGGTGGTGGTGGTGGTGGTGGTGGTGATGTTGAGGATGATGGGCGTGTTGTTGTTGTTGTTGTTGAGGATCGTCACACATCATGTCATCACCATTATCACTACTCGTATCTGAACTTGCTGATGAGCACAATGCATCATCCATGAAGGGTTGTTGCTCTGGTGTACTTGCTGCTGTGGTATTGAGACTCTTTGCTTCATTATTCAATACGTTGACAAAGGCAGTTTCAGGGACACTTTCAGGATCCATTCGTTCAGCAGAAGATAATTCAACGCCATGTTGCTTTTCAATGTGTCGTGCCAATTGACCCTTTCTCCAAAAAGATTTGAAGCATGTAGGTGAAGGACAATGATGCAATTTAACAGTGACAGCAGCAGTAGCAGGAGTAGAATGGGATCGATGATGTTGTTGGGATGAAGATGAAGAAGAAGAAGAAGAGGAGGAGGATGTAGTTGATGAAGAAGATGATGAAATGGATGCTGATGTGGATTGATGGGATATGGAAGAAGCTCTTGATCGATGAGAGAGTGTTGATCCAGCATGGACAAATCGCAATATAGAGCAATGTTGTTGTTGTCGCATATAGGCTTCTTCATCATCTGGTGAGCGGGCCTTGGATGATGCTGATTGACGACGTACACGCCTACGTCTATGCAATAGAATGGATGGTGAAGCTACATGAGCACGTGCGTGGCGACTCAACTCGTCTGATCGCGCGAATCGCTTGTCGCAATGTGGAAATGAGCAGGCGTGAGGCTTCTCTCCAGTGTGCGTGCGGACATGTCGCACCTTGTGCTCGAGGCGGTAAAAGGATTTTGGGCAGTATTCGCATTGATGGGGGCGTTGACAAGCTGCTTGGGCAGATGGGGTTGTGGAAGAAGAATTATCCAAAGGGAGAGCCATGTTATAAGAGAGATGGAAATCAAAAGAAGGAAAAGAACCGATAGAATGAGTAGCCTTTATATTGGGTCGGCATGCACGTATATGCTTTCACCTATTCCGTTGCTTCACAAAGACCTGGCTATTGTAATTTATTTATGTGGGGGCATTGCCGGAACAGACTGCAGGGTGACACACACACGAGAGCCTTTTTGCATCACCAAAACAGGGCCATACTTTTTGCTTGTTCCTCGTGTTAAGTTAGCCCACTTTACAGCCCTAATATGAAGCTTAAAACTGACACGCTCATCATCATCATCGTCTTGTCCCCCACACCCCCAACCTAACAAACAACATGACTACCTACCACCCACCACCCTCTTTCCCTGATGACATTATTAAAAAGTGGCAAAGCATGCACTCACACTCCCCATCCACCCCTCCATCAAGTAATCATTCAATTACAAGCCCCTGTTGTGTACAATCCACATGTTCTTAATTGTTGCTATAGCAGCGTATACGTATACTCAGCTCTTTTCAGGGCTGAAATACCTTGCACAAAAATAGTTACATAAGCACCTCTAACGAAAAGCAACAAAAGTTATACAATTTTCGGTAAAAGCTACCGTCTCAATGCCTGTCTTTTTATTGTCGAATGAGAACAATGCAATGGGACAGCTATAGAGAGAGGTTCAAAAGGGTCCGTGCTTGAAGTTTGGATGTTGCAATAGAGAATCTAAGATGTGTGCCTGGATGAGGGGTCCTCCATTGTTTCACGACAGCTGTAGCCAGCAGTGTGTATCCAAATGCCCTGACGCTTTGGGTGACCTTTGATTACGGGGAGCTGCATGAGCTTATTCTCTATAAGGCAGCTTGACAGTGCACAACATCCCATCTTTATATATCACCCGCTTTTTCTATTGTAGTTAAATATGCGATACCCAGTTCCCGAGGCCACACGGTCAAAATGCATCATGTTGATCATCACCACCACCATCATTTCCACCGAAGCCCACCCACTTGCAGCCCCACCACATGATGTGAGGCAAAAATAATTTGCATCGATGTGCAGGTTTCCTCTTTTCTTTGTTCTCGCTTCCTCTTTTTACTGCTGCTCGATTTATAGGGTATCATTGAATATAGGCTGTAGTGGTAGAAAATCAATTTCATCGGGATACATGTATACGTGTTTATAGGTATATCCCTAACGTAGTGTGTCAAGCAAGTTGTAGCCTGCAAGTGCGTGTAATGTGATATGCACGACATGTTGTACACGCATGGTCGTATTTGTGTAATCAAAAGGAACAATACTTCAGCATAGGATGAGAAGGATAAAGAATGATAAACGAGATGTTGATATGCATATGCATATTACCCCATCCCTTTCCTTCTATTTTGCTGATGTTGCCGCAATCTTGTGCTTCATCAAATCACTTAGTTGCATAGGTGCTTGGTTGCATTGTGTGTGCTTCATCAAATCACTTACATGCATAGGTGCTTACCACCACCCCATCATCATCACCATCGTCGTCATCATCATCATCACTGCTACGTACGACCGCATCATCTCATCTAGTATCCGCTTTGTTTTGATTCTGCCGATGTACTTGCCATGGGCTCTTTTGTGCTAGAGATCACTATCCACTGCACATAGCCGTTGCCTTTTACCCACTACCAGCCATAACGAAGATGCTCGAACCTTCCTCAACATCCCCTATATGACCCAAAGAAGAAACTAAAACGGCGTTGCGTAATGAACCCAATCTTTTCTGCAATGTATGATGATGATGCATTTGAAGGCAGGATTGATCGGGGGGAAAGCAAGTGTGGGGTGCATGGCCATCACCATCAAAGAAAGTGTGTGTGTGTGTGCACAAAGAAGCAGCATGAGCCGATTTTTAATCCGTCTTATCGTGATCCATTGTATACACAATCTAATTGGCGTTGGTGCACCAATCATAATTTCTTTTGGCCAATATAGTCCCTATTCTTTGATTTAGCTTTTGTCGTCGTTTGCTTCAAGGTTACCATCCAGCACCCATGATGAGCGTGGAAATAGGATTGAAACCGTGATCGCTATAACAAGGAGTATATAAGTGTGACAGCAATGTGTTTCAAAAAGAAAAGGTTTTGGTGCCGTAAAAGCAAAAAGCGGAAACAAAAAGAAACAGCCAATATGCAGGTTGGGTTTAAAGATTTTCACCCGGCACATTTTACCCACCATCCCAAAGGCGATCACGGGGGTATTGGATGGTCGATCCCTTGCTGCTGCTGAGAATATTGCTGAGCCAAATGGCGATCTGTTTTCATTGCAAAATGGTAAGACCTCACGATTTGACCCTTCAAATAAAGCAACCCTCCCATTGCCAAGGATCCGATGCTATGGTTTTTGTTGTTGCTGTGATGTAATCTCCTTGCTGCTTCTTGTGTCGTTCATGCTCGAACCCCTTTGGAAGAAGCTTGCTTATATGTGGCTCATCGTATTTACACGGCTAGAAGATTAATCCAAGCCTCCTTTGTCCTCGTTAATATACATTAGCTGCTTTTTTATTACAAGCCATTCTATATTGTTTCGGGTTTGTTAGCAAGCTTGCATGTGATGGGTATAGTCTGGGTGTGGATTAATCCTTTTTGGGGTTACCATTCAACGATCAAAAGCTACAATAAGCAGCTGATCGCGCGAATGGATCAAGCATAGGTGTGGTTGTTTGGCAAGATGAGGCTAGTCTGATGCAAATTGGCCATATTGTACATACACTACAAGAATGTCCGCCGAACTAGCCGATGGCTATTTGGGATGCTGTCTCACATTTTGGGGACTACAACATTACATCTTTTTACTTGCGAGAACCAAACTATTTAGAGCAATCAGGGAAAAGGGGAAGAAGGGCGGCGTCAATACATGTTACAAAGAGGAGGAATTGGACCGGGTAAAGTGCAACAAAGAAATACATTTTGACACGAGAATAACATCGGTTGGTTTATTCCAAAAGAGGACGTCGATCATCCGCGGAGCACACTCTCTTTGGTGCGTTTTTGTGGATCTGTGTGTATCCCACCAAACTTATGTGTAGCTGTCTTTAGGCCCCTTTGAAGTCTTCTTTCCCCTTTTCCTTTTTTCTTTCACAATTCTTTCTCGTATGTCCTCGACATTGGCCATCTCTGCAGCAACACCATCTTCCTCCTCTTCTTCATCTTCCTCCTCCCTTTATTTACAGTCGTCCCCACCACCATCGCCACCAATATCAAAGGAACCTTCTTCGTCCATACACATCAACCACTCTACCGACGACGACACCGATTACAACATGCGATTTCTTCCACCACAACCACCCTCATCATCACCATCGTCAAGGAAACATACAAGCAAAAAATATACCCAACATCGTCGACGGCGTGATTGCTATCAACGTTTACAGATTATCATCCAAGAGAATGAACGCATAGAACGAGAAGAACATGAAGCTATGTTGCGCAAAGCACCTAATGTCATTGCCCGACGATCTCCTAGCCAAGAAAAGCCGAGCATTCTTGTCAAGACACCAGCCATCACCACTCCACCTGAATCACCTACCACACCATCCTCCCCTATCACGCCTACCAACAATGAATTCTTAAAGTCATCAACACCCTCATCACAACCACCACGGCAATCAGTACGCTTTGCACCAGATCCACCCAAAGTCTTTCACTGTTCAACATCAACATCCCCGATAACCAAGCTGCGGAACTTTTTACACTTGTTCTCAGACTGAAAGGATGAATCGGCCTATTTATTGCGCCCCATCCCATCCCATCCTCCCCATATCATCATTGCAAAAAACAACACAAACGCACACACACACACATAGCATATCCATGTGAATAATCATCCCCCGCTTGAAAATTCAGTAGCATTCCCTTGTCCTTTCTGCGATATCTCTTTTTTTCATTCATCATGTAATATACTACATTCATCTTCTTAGTCCTATAGTGAAAAAGAAAATGTTTCAAATGTCAGCATGTGTGTAATGTCCGCGTGTGAATCAAATGCACGGGCGGGTATCATTTCGTCGATCGCCCAAACCTTACCTGGCGTCCTTTCAGCGTTCGTGTGATGATTTGATCAGGCGTGCTGCATAAATTAGGGGGTTTGGTTAGAGACTGTATATGATAACGTAGTGCATACGTCGATCTTTTTCCCCCTCCGCATTTCTCACACGCTTTTTTCTCATTGCCGCCGATCTTCCCGTCATCCTATTCAACCCTGATCGACACACACTCTTTTTTTTCTCTCTCCACCCCCCCCATTCCATCCCCATCTTGATTTTCTCCTCCGCGCACTTGATGGTCCGATAACGCAAACTTACATGACGTGGACAACGGCACCCCAACCAGACAAAGCATCTCTGTCTTGAGCATTCAACAATGCTTGTGAAATGGTTTCGAACAAGTCCTCTGGTTCAAGATCGGGTTCCCACAATGATTCGCACATGCCATACAAGTTGGGTCCTGCTGTACCGCTCACAACAAAGTCTTTGGCGAAATTGATACATCCAATAAGATCCATGGAGCATATGAATGGCTGATTGTCCTTGCCCAATCCTGCAACCACTGGCTCCACAAAGTAGGGTCCAAATCTGTAACACATCATGTCAATCGGGATGTTACCAAAACAATCATCATCATCATCATCATCCTACCGTCGTTCATAAAGAGTGGATGACACCATGTGAGCTAATGTCTTGGGTTCAATCTCTCGTTCTTCACGCATCTTGTACATGTTGATTTTGAAACGGAAACGTTCAGCACTATCATAACCATCATCATCAGCTCGTTGTCGTATGTATGTATGTATGTCGTCTTGTGTATTCAAGCTTCAAAGGTGGGTGGGTGTGCTTACAGTGTGAGGACGTCTGTGGCAAGACCTGGAAGGCCAATAAACGATTTTTCGGCACCTCTAAAGATCTTTTGGAATTCGGTCGATACGGTCATGAATTGCTGGCCGAGACGCTTGTCAGCTGCGATGGCGACACAGTTCTTTCCCACCATGGCTACCACCGAGCCACCATTGTATTGCATAATCGACTAGGAAAAAGTGTCAATCAAAGGTCATCCGTTGTTGTTCTTGAAGCAGTTTTCTTTCAATCGTACCATGGTTGCGAGTGTGTTGTTATTGGAAGGGTTTGGGAAAAGAAAAAAGGGGAATGAGTACGTGTAGGTATTGCGTAAAGAACAGGTGGTTGCTGAAATTGCCCTGATACCTGCGTGTGCGCGTAACGCGTAAGGCCTCAAGCGGAGTCCAGGTTACGTCATCCAAGTCCATTCTACTTCATGCAGAGGCTGATCTCATTTGCTTTACGTTGCATAAACCATCATCATGTTCAATCATTGATCCTGCTATAAGGTAGAACAAGCACATCGCTCGTGGTAGCGTAGTCTTTATCATATTAGAACACATTCAGATAGCTAGAGATAACATTCTCCTGCATCACCATGCATCCAATAAATCATCATCCATCAAACCTAGTCTTTGTGATCCTGGTACATTTCTTTGTCAAAAATTAATGCTGCTCTCTAAGAACCTGTTTTATTCATGGACATTCAATCACACCAAGGCCTGTCAAACATTCCACTGCTGGTGAAGATGGCGCATCCCAACAAGCATTTTATCACTCTTTAGCTTCTTGTTTGCGATCACAGAAATACTCACGCCCACCATGAGGGTATAGACAAGATGAATGTTGTCGCCCATTGTTCAACTCCCACACATCTCTTTCTTCCATCATCATCATATTACTCTTCGATCGCTGGAACATCAATGCCCTTGGTAAGTGCCATGGTGGGTGATCCTCTTTGTGAGCGATCCATGTACTCATACTTGCGATGATCTTTAGCCTTCATTGTTTTCCTACTTTCATTGTTGTTGTTGTCATTGTGATATTCGGCTCTTTTATTAAGGTAAAACCTCATCATCTTACTTAAATGAAGCATATACTCACATTGCCTGGGATGTAGCTATTATGTATGCATCTGTAAAGTTAGATCAGACAGCAGATTTTATTACAGTCCGCAGGTGGTGGTGATAAAACGGCTTCCCTCATCACTACTGCAACCGGCAAAAAGCATTTGTCTTGGATCTTGTATTAAGACCAAATATAAGTGATGGAAGCAGTAGAACAATTTTTCGTCATCTTCAAGAAGAAAGAGTAAGCACATAGCAAGATCAAGAGATACACATGCTGTATTACCGTCAGCTCTTGCAAGATTAGTCGTGCCAACTGATCAGGGACGTTATATCAACCCAATGATCAACAAGCAAAAAAAAGCTATACCAGAGCTACGTGTACAAGGGAGGTATGCTTACACAGCATATGTCTTTGGAGGGGCTGCCAATTACAAACGAGATCCAAGAATACGAATGAAATGCGTCCAAGGCCATGGCACCCCTATTGACGACGAAGAGATACTCTCGCGTCCCGACGAAGGATAGAAGATGCTTTGGATAAGATGCCTTGTTCATTTATAAAATACCATTTCAAACATGAAAAAGCAAAAGTGGATGGTTAGATGCTGAGTGTGGAGGGAAATGGTGTCAAATGAAAACTTGGACGACCACATTTCTTCTTGATTGAGGATGAGAGCTTGTGAGCACAACGATGGTGGTCATTATACTTGGATAGGCTCTCTTTATTGTTATGAAAACGGTACTTTATTATCGATGAGCAACTCTTTACATGTACCATAATCCAGTATACAATATAGGGTAAGTGATTCATTATATGCTCCGGCGAATTGATGTGGATCCGATCACAGGCACCAGCACTTCTTTTCCCGTTGCTATACAACACACCACCATCACCACCACACCGACACAATGAACAGCAATGGGCAACCACCACCACCAGCATCGATGCCTTTCCAAGGTCAACCTGGTGCTCCTCGTCCACCACCACCATTCATGCCAGGACCTCCATTACCACCCAACTGGCAAATGACTATGACTCCACAAGGCGAAGTGTATTATTACAATGCTGTTACGGGCGTTACTTCATGGACACGACCTATCGATCCAGTACTGACAGCACCAGCAACTCAACAAACGCCTGATCAAGCTTCCAATGCGACTGATTCCAAAAAGAAACAGAAAAAGACAAAGTATGACAAAGGCGTGTAGTGTATAGTGGGTACTACTTGACAGCTCACACCACCACCATTGGATATTAGGAAACCCATTCCTGGCACCGAGTGGCTGCTTGTACGAACATCAGATGGATTGGAATTCTATTTCGACAAGGCCAACAAAAAATCAGTTTGGGAGATGCCAGAGGAATTGAAGGAACCCATCGAGAAGCTCAAGGAACAAGAACGTGTGGAAGAGGAGGAAAGTCGCAAGAGGAAGTTGCAAGAACAAGAAGCTGAGGAGAATGATGATTCCAAACGTCCAAAGACTGATCAAGAGGAGCAAGAACCAGAGGAGACCACAGAGTAAGTGTGATTATTTTATTCATTCGAGGAGACTAAGAGGTTGTTTCATAGAATGACAGAGGAGGATATCATGTGGCAATTGCAGAATATGGATCCAGAAGAAATGGAAGCTATGGGCATCAATGTTGAAGGTGACAACAAAGAACCCACACCTTCAGAGGAAGAACAACAGCAACAGCCACCAGCACCTCAAAATGATACTGCAGCACAAGCACAAGAAGCACCATCATCATCAGCACAGCCGATTGAAAGTAGCACCGGCCCCCAGATATCAGATGAAGAGAAGATTGAGCTTTTCACAGTGAGTATTGGGCACGTGATTCTAATCCTTATCATGGGCTTATTTGTTTGTTTGTACGCCTCATATAGCAAATGTTGACTGAGAAGAATCTCGATCCATTCTCCACATGGGAAAAGGAACTACCCAAATTCATCAATGACGAGAGATATGCATGTAAGTGATGATGGTATCCATGCGTTGCATGAGATCAACCCTGTTGATCCATTGTATGATGTATAGTGCTCCCACATGGCAAGCGAAAGAACCTGTTCAACAACTATTGTCGTGTGCTGGCAGAGGAACAAAAAGCAAAACGACCACAGAAGAAGGTAAGTAACGGAGGGAGGCTGTTGTTGACAGAGAGAGCAAAGGAAAGAGACTCATCACGATGCGCTCTATTTAGTCACCCGAAGAGGAATTCATGTCACTTTTGACACAAGAAGCCACCACCAAGATGTATTGGGATGATTTTCGTCGAAAGGCAAAGAATGATCCTCGTTTCAAGGCCATCCGTGAATCAAAGACGCGCGAAGCAATGTTCAGAGACTATGTGAAAAAGCTGCGCAAGGAGAAGGAATCGGGTGGATCATCACGACAAAGAGAAGCTGCATACAATGAATTATTACGGGAGACCAAAGATATCCAGCCTGGAATGAGGTGGCGTGATGCCAAGTTGATATTGGAAAAGGACAACCGTTACCATGCCATTGAATCCAAAAGATTACGCGAGGATCTTTTCCGTGACTACTTAGAAGAGCTAGAAGATAGCAGGGGACGATGATTGATTTATTTGTGAAACAATGGAAAAAACAGCTGCATAAATTACACACAACCTCCTCTTCTCTCCCTTGTATTTCATTTTTCTCGCCTCTCTCTCTCTCTCTCTTTCTTTACACCAACCACTTTTCGACACCATGCCTGAATCAGAGACGTTTTCGTTTCAAGCTGAGATCTCTCAGTTGATGAGTCTTATCATCAACACCTTTTATTCCAACAAGGCAAGAAATCAACATTATGAGTGATGTACATATATACAGCATGTCCTAAAATAGGAAATACATAGGAAATCTTTTTGCGTGAGTTAATCTCGAACGCGTCAGATGCTTTGGACAAGGTGCGATATCAATCATTGACGGATCCTTCGGTGCTTGACTCGCAAAAGGAGCTCTTTATTCGCATCACGCCTGATAAACAACACAATGTCTTGTGTATCCGTGATACGGGTGTTGGCATGACAAAGGCTGATTTGGTCAACAACCTTGGTACCATTGCAAAATCCGGCACAAAGGCATTTATGGAGGCATTGTCTGCTGGTGCTGATATCTCCATGATTGGTCAATTTGGTGTGGGTTTTTATTCTGCCTACTTGGTGGCTGACAAGGTGCAAGTGATCACGAAGCATAACGACGACGAGCAATACATTTGGGAATCCGCTGCTGGTGGTCACTTTACTATCACCCTTGATGAAGTCAATGAGCGCTTGGGTCGTGGCACCGAATTACGCTTGTTTATGAAAGAGGATCAGCTTGAATATCTTGAAGAACGACGTATCAAGGATGTTGTCAAGAAGCATTCAGAGTTCATCTCCTATCCAATTCAACTTGTTACCGAAAAGGAGGTTGAAAAAGAAGTGCCCGATGAAGAAGCTGAACAAGAAGCCAAGGAAGATGAAGAAAAGCCGCGTATTGAAGAGGTCAAAGATGAGGATGAAGAGAAGAAGCCCAAGACAACCAAGATCAAAGAAAAGGTCATTGACACTGAGGAGCTTAACAAGACGAAGCCTATCTGGACCCGTAATCCTGAGGATGTCAAGCCTGAGGAGTATTCACAATTTTACAAGGCACTCACCAATGACTGGGAAGATCAACTTGCTGTCAAACACTTTTCAGTGGAAGGTCAGCTTGAATTCCGTGCCATTCTTTTTGTCCCACGTCGTGCACCATTTGACATGTTTGAAACCAAAAAGAAGCGCAATAACATTAAGCTTTACGTACGACGTGTATTCATTACAGACGACTGTGAAGATTTGATCCCTGAATGGCTCAACTTTGTTAAGGGTGTCGTTGACTCGGAAGACTTGCCACTCAACATTTCTCGTGAGATGCTTCAGCAAAATAAGATCCTCAAGGTTATCCGCAAAAACCTTGTCAAGAAGTGTTTGGAAATGTTCAACGAGATTGCCGAAGACAAGGACAACTTCAACACCTTTTATGAGGCATTCTCAAAGAATCTTAAGCTTGGTATCCACGAGGACAACCAAAACCGCAACAAGCTTGCTGATCTGCTACGCTACTATTCCACCAAGTCAGGTGACGAGATGACATCGTTCAAGGATTATGTGACCCGTATGTCTGAAAAGCAAAAGAACATTTACTACATCACGGGTGAATCACGTGCCTCTGTGGAGAATTCGCCTTTCCTCGAAGGCTTCAAGAAGCGTGGGTTTGAAGTGCTTTTGATGACGGACCCCATTGACGAATACTGCATCTCGCAGCTACGTGAATATGAGGACAAAAAGTTGGTGTGCATCACAAAGGAAGGTGTCGAGCTTGAGGAAGATGAAGATGAAAAGAAGCGACTCGAAGAAGAAAAGAAGGAATACGAGCCACTTTGCAAAGCCGTCAAGGATACGCTTGGTGACAAGATTGAAAAGGTTATCATTTCTGATATCCTTACCACATCACCCTGTGTGCTCACCACCGGTCAATTTGGATGGTCGGCCAATATGGAACGTATCATGAAGGCACAAGCTCTACGTGACAGCACCATGTCCAGCTATATGGCATCCAAAAAGACACTCGAGCTGAATCCCAATCATGGCATTATCAAGGCACTCAAGCAAAAGTTTAGTGAAGATTCCAGTGATCGCACCGTGAAAGATCTTACGCAGCTGTTGTATGAGACCGCGTTGTTGACATCAGGCTTTTCACTCGATGACCCATCCAACTTTGCTTATCGCATTTATCGTATGGTCGCCCTTGGCTTGAGCATTGATGAAGATGATACGGCCATGGAAGAAAATAGCACAGCACAAGCAGCTTCAAGTGGTGATCAACCTGCTGGTGAGACATCGAAGATGGAGGAAGTGGATTAAGATCGTAAGAATAATAGTCGTAGTATCCTACCAGATTGAACAATAAAATCCTTTTTGTAAGATCTAAAAGTGTAATGCCTCTCAATAAGAACCCATATAACAAATCTTGTTTAGAAAATAGTATTGTTTTTATAATATACATATACGCTAACATTCATAAACTAGTAATCATCCCACCCATGCCAACGGGCTCACATAGCAACATCGCGTCTCCATAGGTCATCAAATGCTGTATCCATCATACTCCATATACGATCAATAAGCCATGCTTATGTGTGCTCGTTGGAATCAATGTCACCGACCTCCAGCTCCTGAACACTACTACCCGGCCAGGAATAAGAGATACATGCAAACGAATGTGATCCTTATGGTAATAGCATGACCGAGCCCAGTCCATGTCGAAAGCTCACCTCTCGGATATAAGGTTCATCCCACACTTGTTGTTCGTGGATGATTCTTCTTGCTTCCTTGATTGATGTTGCCTGCTCAATACATAATCATATAGCGCAGATCATTATATAGCAGTAGAAAAGCAACTTTTTGACTTACGTATTTATGCAAATGCATGTACCTTTGCAAGTCTTGTGGCATGGTGGGGCAGTAATCCTTCTTCTGGTAATCCCGTATCATCCGTAGTTCTTGCTTTGTAAACGATTTGTCGATGTCATAGCTCTTGTCATACGGGTCAAGCACGAAAGAATGGCACAAGCTAATGTAGGCATGTATATGGTTATAAACGTGATAGCAGATCCGGATGATGATACTCACTGTTCTTTTTTGAACTTGACGCCGTATTCATATAATCTATCCTCAACGCATGTCCCCGTCTCCAGTGCCCATTTCTTGCTTTCTCTATCTCCTTGCAGCTCTACCAGGCGAAGATTGCTTGTATGGTGGTGTACTTGATAGCTGATGAGGAATCATCCACTGGAATCCGTGGCGTGTACTTATGTCACCTACAAAGGAGGCCCAATTCCCTATCAGATTGAGAGGTTGCCTTTTGCCTACAAAGATACATACCACAAAGGGTCCATCAAGGAACAAAGCCAGATGTCATTAGGCAACAATGAGCATGCCAAGTGGTAAAGTAATGATGTGAGCTATAGATGAATGCATGAGGACCCTCGTTTTGGGAATCATCTAAAGGCTATCCTTGAGACTTACCAAAGGCCACTGATGATGATATGAATACAAGTAGAAAGAAAGGGCGTATGATAGTGTTGGTGACAACAGCCTTGTTTATATGTGATTGGGCGTGGGAATTGTAGTCATGATGGATCAAACCGATAAAGTGGTCAAGTACCATGGAGTACTGAGTCAAAGTGGTGGAAAAGTAACGGCATTCCAAGAAGCTTTTCCAGCACACTTGGCTAGTGCAGAGCAACACAGCGGCCACTTGATACAGGCTGGGACTTGAACCCAATGAGATGATGATGATGCCCCAACTTGCATTTGCCTGACCAAAGAAACCTATTCAATTCATTATTAGCACACACATACAATAAACACCCTTTTCATTGTTTGTTTCATTGTACTTGCCTTTTCCATATACACAAAGATCCGTTGTTGTTGGTTACTGGAAACCGAAAACCATGGTGTAGTGTTGTTGAGCCGAAACAAAACGCCAAACCAGCCAACGTCTTGAAACCAAACCTGCCCTCTATACAAGCTGACGCGTCAATGGAACCAATTCGGCTGCAACATTGGACTCTGAATGTACCTTTTGACACCAAGCATAGAATGGGAGTAGCAACGAACAAAAGGAAGCAACAATATCGCCATGGCAACCACCAACCACCTACCACGCTCATTCCTCAGCACTTGGACACGGCTCACTCCCTGACAATGCACGTTCACAACTATATTAATACCTCACAGCCAACAAGAGCACTCTTCTATAATACATTACCATGATCGAGATGTCGTAAATGGAATAAGGAAAGGTGGGAGAAAAAGAAGAGAAGCGTTTTCTCAAGTCGTGGAGCTGCTGTCCTCCAAGTTTAAATCCCCCTACTGCTACTACACTGAGGCCACTCAATGACCCCACATACACCATCCACCCATCGTCATCATCACCCTCACGATAGACAATTGGTACACGTAAATACAAGAAATGATGATCCTCACGTATAGCAAAAGGGTGTGTGCCATTTTACACTTTACATGATAATGATGATCCAACAACAGCCATTACCTTACTACCAGATTAGCTCGAATCATGAAAGCTGAATGATGGGCATGCTGGGCTGGAGCAGAACAATCATTCGTGTGCATTAGATTGGGTAACAATGGAGAATGGGAGGACTAGGTTATTAGCTGCCATTTTGAACTATTCCTGAATAGTGTACAAGAATCATGCATCGCCTGTGCTGAATGACTCAAGTTACACAAACACGCCCTCTGCATCTTTTGCTCTATTATAGTCATACTACTTTACATTAAACAAAGACCACTTCTCATATAGCATCACGCTTACAAACATAAAGGCGCCTGTATCTCCAAACTTTACAATCAAACGTGGGCTCTTTAATAGATCAACGTGCTTGTCGGGGTCAAAGGAATCTTGTGTCAAAGTATGAAGTTCATCGTGGGCGATCCCAGATTTCGCAATGTCGCTACCAGCCAAACTGGATCTGGGGGTCGACCTCTTGAACTTTTTTCGACGACGACCAAAAAAATATTTTTTGGGCTAGTTGCGACATTGAACGCGAAACTTTCACACAAGGTGCTGTTGGCCAAGCCGAGCCCATTGCTCTAATAAAAACCGCATGTTTCATTGTAGGATCTTGAGATATGGGCGTCTTTATGTTTTCACTATGCTGTAAGCGTGATGCTATATGAAGAGTGGTCTTTGTTCATTGTCAAGTAGGTGGACCCTGGCAGAGCAAAAGACGCAGAGGGACCTCTTTGTGTAACTCAGCTACTTTGCATGACTAGAAGGATGGAAGGATGATACTGTATACTATTGACAATATCCCATACATTGCGAGCTAACAGCCATTTCCTCACAATCGGCAATGTTGTCCACTCTATGACATGTGGGCGATACTCCTGCTTCAGACATTCATTTCCATGATTGGATTATGTTGATCCGAGTTGATTTGGCTGAGCTACGCTCATACAAGGTTACTTCAGTTGAGCAACATAGAGCATGGTTAGATGTGTGGATTGATGTAATCCTTCTTTGGCTGTATCTCGGTCAAATCAACTCGGATCAACATAATCCAATCATGGAAATGAATGTCTGAAGCAGGAGAATCGCCCACATGTCATAGAGTGGACAACATTGCCGATTGTGAGGAAATGGCTGTTAGCTCGCAATGTATGGGATATTGTCAATAGTATACAGTATCATCCTTCCATCCTTCTAGTCATGCAAAGTAGCTGAGTTACACAAAGAGGTCCCTCTGCGTCTTTTGCTCTGCCAGGGTCCACCTACTTGACAATGAACAAAGACCACTCTTCATATAGCATCACGCTTACAAACATAAATGTGCCTGTATCTCCAAACTTTACAATGAAACGTGGGGTTTTTAATAGAGCAATGGGCTCGGCTTGGCCAACAGCACCTTGTGTGAAAGTTTCGCGTTCAATGTCGCAACTAGCCCAAAAAATATTTTTTTGGTCGTCGTCGAAAAAAGTTCAAGAGGTCGACCCCCAGATCCAGTTTGGCTGGTAGCGACATTGCGAAATCTGGGATCGCCCACGATGAACTTCATACTTTGACACAAGATTCCTTTGACCCCGACAAGCACGTTGATCTATTAAAGAGCCCACGTTTCATTGTAAAGTTTGGAGATACATGCACCTCTATGTTTGTAAGCGTGATGGTATATGAAGAGTGGTCTTTGTTCATTGTCAAGTAGGTGGACCCTGGCAGAGCAAAAGATGCAGACGGTTCTGGCATTGGGCAACCGTAGTTTGAATGAAGGATGGTGCAAGTAGCAAAGCCCGCTTTCGGAGCAGACATGAGTATAGGACGTCCAAGATGAAGGTTCCGTGTTAGAAAAAGTTCCTGGTTGTGGATTCCTTTTTCAAGGCTGCGTGTTCTTTGTTCGTGGCCAACTTCATGATTGTTCCCTATTAATGATTGAACAAGTACAGCACCCTGACATCGATCTCCATCACGAAACAATGGCATCAATGTCTACCATCACAGTACTCTTTCCAGTCAATTATCACATTTTGCGCCCATATCAACATCATCTCCATTCCAAAGTATGCCATTTTCCAATCATGCAAATAAAGATCGAATTGTATTCATTGTGGGTGTATACGATACTTTTAACGATAAGGATGTTCAGCTTGCAAGTTTCTATACAAGGACATGTTAGCGTGAATTGTACAATAGCAATCCTTTTATTTCTCTTACCTGGCAATCTCAACCTCCCACTTGTCACCGTTAGCCAAAAGCTTTTCCTTGTTGTAAAGCAATTCCTCGTGTGTCTCGGTGATGTACTCGTAGTTGGCGGTTTCCACAATAGCATCAACTATTCCTTTTTGTTAATATCCCATCCTTTATACCTGCATCATCTCATTTACCTGGGCATGCCTCTTGACAGAAACCACAGTAACTACAAGGAAGGATCGACTATGTTAGAAGATGCAATAGAGGGTCATCATGATCAATATCTACTCACATGCACTTGGTCATATCGATATCATAACGGGTAGTGCGACGAGAGCCATCTTCACGAGGTTCAGCTTCGATGGTGATAGCTTGAGCAGGGCAAATGGCTTCACAGAGTTTACAAGCGATACAACGTTCTTCACCTATCGCATGGCATTAATGATTCCATCCTTTGTCATACATGCAATAGCCTCTCTCTCTTACCAGTAGGATAACGACGAAGAGCGTGCTCACCACGGAAGCGAGGAGACAAAGGACCCTTTTCATAAGGATAAAAGATGGTGTAGGGAGGACGGAAGAATTGTTCCAAGACGACCCACATGCCTCGCATCAATTCGGTCAACAATAAATGGCGTGCAGCGATATCAAGAACACCAGGAGCCTTGTAGTCGGATGGTGTAGGTTTATTATCTTGCACTGGTGCAGCGTGACGGACAACAGTTGAGTTACTGAAACGTGCCACTTGGCTGGCAATGGGTGCACCCATGAATCGTGTGGTCGTGCCAACGGCTGCTACAATAGATAGATACGCATCGTCAGTTTCCACCGCTACCACCACCATAACAACAACAGCAACCCATTGGCTTTGACATGGCATCGGCAGCCCCCATGATTGTATTGATGCTGACCTGCAGGAATAGCGCGACGTTGAGTGGTGCGAACAAGGGTTGCCAATGGAGACGACAATCTGAAAGCGTTCATGATTGGTATGTAAAAGAGTGGGGAGTATTGTGTTGGTGGAAAAAGAGCACAAGAGCTGGCTGACAAAAGAAGTAGCCCTTTGGACCGATAAATAATATTATTCGACTCGGTCCGCTGTGACATCAAATCTCAGAAATGGATCCAATCAACTTGACAGCTCCCACTGCAAATCACGTTTTCCCACCCTGCCCCATTATCTCGACATCTTTATTATCCAATCTGTCTAAGACCTCCATGGATGCTATTGACGACTAAATACTACATAAACTTCTATCAATGAAGAAAATTGGTTCATGACATGATAAGATGATGTGTGCAAATGTGGTTTTCCCATCATGGCAGCAGGAGTACATAGTCTCTTGGTATACGATCCTTATCAAATGAGTGTAGCAATGTCTTTTAGGGTCATTTATAGGCATACAATAAAGAGTAAATGACCATGAATGTGCTTTCTTCAATGAGATGCAAAGAAAAAGGGATTGGTGAGTTGATGCGGCAATCATGCATGGCTGCGCCAAAAATCCCCTTTCTTTTTTGAGAGAGCGCATTGTCATTTCAAGCAGTCTTACCTCTCTTTTCTCTTCAACCCCACATTGATCTGTCGCTTGGTTCCTCATGAACATTCTTCCACACAAAAGGTAAATGAGACACTTGGGGATCCCTCGTACTCGATGTTTATTGTACTTGTTAGCTGGCATGTCTACAACAAGAAGAACATTGAAAAGGTGAAGCGTGATGAAGCTAAAGCCCAAGAAGAGGAAGCTGCCAAAGCCGAGCGAGCTATCAAGGCGGTAAGTTGAAAGCTGGATGGTACTCCCAAGATGATGATACTGACTATGGAGGTTGTATTGTTCAGGAAAGCGAAGCACGTCTTAATCTATTGCGTCAACGAGCAGAAAGTCGATACAAGCAACTTGATGATTCCTCAGCATCAACGGATGGCGCTGTCGTAAAAAAGCCGCCCGAACATGTTGTGCTATTTGGCAGTGTAAGAAAAGCAAAAGCATGATGCTTATCTAGATAACTCATCAGTCGATATAGGATCAAGGCGATCGATATGCTAAAAATGAAGAACGCGAAGCTGAAGAGAAGGAAAAGGAAGCTAAGCTTGATCGACAATTGACTATGTATTTGGATAAAGGAGTCAAAGGTATGGATTGTATCTGGTACAAGGGAGCCAATGTCTTATGCATTGTTATAGAATCCACGCCATGGTACGCCGTCAAAGAGTACGATCGCTACGGGGAAACAAAACCTGATCGAAGCAAGGACACAAAGGCAAAGGAAAAGAGGCAAGTTGCAACGAAGAGGGGATAACATGATCATGAGTAGGTAGCTAATGATGATGAAATAGGCGGAAAAGGGCGATTCATCTGAATGAGGATCCGCTGGCGGAAATCCAGAGCAAGATGGCCAAGCGAGAAGAAGCACGTAAAGAACGACGCTATGGTTCTTATCATCGACATCATCACAAGGAAAAGAGCAAGAGAACAAAAGCATCATCATCAACATCATCGTCATCATCATCATCATCATCGATCGAAGCATTACGAGCAAAGCGTTTACAACGGGAGCAAGCCGAAAGAATGCGTACCAAGGCATATGTATTTGGAGAAGTACCAGACATCAAACCACCAGACACCTACCATTCACAATTCAATCCAACGGAGACTGCTGAAGCACATGAGCGAAGGCGAAGACGACGATAGAGTACATCTCATTTTACTGTACAAAATACCACCACCACCACTACATTAAATCAATTGCTTTTGTGTCTATAATCTTGGATGTCATACATGCCATCAGAAACGTTTATGAAGTAAATATACAATCAGCGTGCGAGTGGAAGGGAAGACTGGATACAAGTGATTTTTGTGTGTGCGAGGGGGTGGATGTGTGTGCGCATGGGTAACAAAAAGAAGATTAGGTTAAATATGGTTGGGACCAACACGTGTCTTGAGTTGCATGGCATCTTCATCTTCATCATCCTCTAGAAAATCAGAGCTTGCATCATGGATCGTTTCCACATTATTGAGCTGGCTATAGTCTCCAACAGGAGCTGGTTGTGTACGGGATGCAGCTGATGGAAGGTATTGTGTAAGCTTTTCCCATAAGAGAATGAGGCCCAAGGAGAATAAAAAGACGGCAAAACCAAATGACAGGAGAATATTGCTGTACGATCCAGGATCAATGTTCAAGGCACTAAGAAGCAATAGCTGCTCTTCATTGGAACCCATAAAGAGCAAACCAGAAAGCATCAATGTCTATTATTCCATCGTTAGTAAGATTTCTTGCATACTTTTGAGTGCATGCACATACCAAAGGAGGGATATACTGGAAAGGAGAGATGCTAAAGTTGCCTTCTTTCCATACAAAACAGATTTCAATGATACGACTGAATCCTCCTGCCATGAGCATGTATCCAAAATAGGAATGAAGTTTCTCGCTGTTGGGTACGTGTTGTGCATGTCCGAAAAATGAGACAGCTGTCAACATGATAAGAACCGAAGGAATCACTGAACGATTGCCGTTTCTGCTCAAGACAATGCCGACTGCACCAGCAATCCACCAAATAATTCCCATTGAAGTATGTTGATAATCGCCATGGTTCCATGGTTGACCCCATCTACCGTATCCGTCATGAGTATTGAGAGCTGACAACATTCATTTCCTTGAGTCTCTTACCGATGCTCAGTGAACGTGTTGACAATACCCCAGAGCATAATCACCCAGCTGTCATACCATTCTTGGCTTTTTCCACGTCGCAATAACCATGGACCGCCCACACGCAACGAGAGTAACATCAAGATACCATAACCAACAAAGGATGAACCCATAATAAAGTGAGCTAGACATTGACCCGTATGATCTACAAAAAAAGGGGGGAGGGGGAATATGAGCCATCATCATCATTCAAAGGGTACATCATGTATATATCGATAGATTACCTCCATAGCAAAAGCCAAGACTTGCAATGACACCAAGTAAGATTTGGACATAGCCAATAACTGGAACCAAGGCACCAAGGACTTTGTGAAACGGTACAACAAAAGGCCGAATGCGACCATGAATGCCACGTTCCAGATGCAGTTTCAAATAGACGCCAATGGCTAACTGGCCGACGAGCAACCATATCAGGATAGAGGCAAACCATCGATGTGCAATATGTGGCTCCTAAATGAAAATAGTGTGCATTGCATAAATTAGGTCAAAGAATATGTAGCAAGCAAGCAAGCAAGCAAGCGCGCGCGCGGGATATCGAATGCGATTGGATTAGCTGCTACTTACATAGTTACGACCAGCATGGGCATGGGCCAAGAAATAGCCCACCACGAACAGTGCTGTTGCAAGTATCTGGACTGGGACATGCCATCGATTTCTAGCCAAGCCAAGCACCATACCGAATGGGAATAAAAATCCAAACGCTGTTGTATAGATAGATACATAGATATGAGTGTGGTCCATAAGCAAATGACAATGTAGTAGTGAGTGACATACATAACACCATGAACGTAATGTGGAGAGCCATGATGTAGCCAATGGGCTCGTCGGTGGCAGCACTCGTTTCAAAGACTGATGGATCGAGGTTGTGAGAATGCCCGGTCGCACCATGTTCGTGCTCGTGGCTGTGGTCGTCCATGACTACTGAAGAAAGAGAAAGAGGAACAATGTGCGGAAGCTTAATGTGCTGCAATAGCTTCCTCTCCATCAGTCTTAAATTGCTATGGCGGGCTTGTTGGTCCGTAGCATAGTTGTTGCATTGCTAGGCCCATTCTTCTTCTTGCTGCACAATAAGGGTTCCCATGCATGGAGCTGTATTAGTTCACATATAAATAGACTAGGCCGTGCTTAATGAGTAATGCCCCTCTCTCGTCTTGCTCGTCTAAAGTTGTTGAACAATAAGGAACAGGGCACAAATTAAACACATGGATGTGAGACACCACAATTCGATCATCATCATCGTCTTATAGAGAATTGCTACACTTTATATATTAAAGGTTGCCTACGTATCATCATCACGTCCCTTTTTTGGGAGGCAGGATCTATTTCTTTTCTTGCGTGATCATTGATGGATTTTGGATTGGGGTATGCCGATACATATCCACAAGCTCGGTTGTTGATATCTGACATCTTTCTGGAAGCTCGTTTAGGCTACCATTAATGATAGCAAAGAAGGTCGTCATAACATCTGCCACAGTCACCGGCGTCCCAAGAAATGTGGTACATAGCGTGCAGCACGCCTTATCACAATGACCACCAAAACAATGAAGCAGGAAAACAAAGAAAGCTATGAATCACCACAACGATCAGCTCTATACCACAGGATTGCTGAAAGGGCCATTCATCTTGATACAGCATACTACACGTACGTAAATGTAGGCTTTGAAGGACAATGACTAAGAGCACAACAGCCTAGACCAACTTGATCGATCTTTCATCACACACAAGAGACATCATCATTGATCGTTACAAAATGTAATATAGTGGCTCATCATTACTATCATTATCGTTAAATGAGACGCATCCTCAAAAGGGATAAGGTAGTACGAGACTGTTGCTGAATGATTAACAAGCCAATGCACACATGGCCCTTTCTATTTCCCTCTTTCTCCTTTCTTTTTTTACACCCACATTCATATCTATATACCCAGCCCTCCCCCCTTTTTGGATTGACAACGATTGTACATAGTAGTATGGTCAAGGGCTTTATTGCTGTCGAGCTTGATTTTCCAGATGTGGTGTACTTTTTTGCCCCACGACCCAACCAGCAAAAGTATTCGACGTATCCAAAGCGACAAAAGTTACGAGGCAAGCTTCGCCTGGTTACGGGACGACCGATCAAGTTGAATCGCGTTGAAATACGTTTCAAAGGGTGCACCCACTTGTCATGGCGCGATCCTTTCAAATCGGCCCACTCGATTCTCGCTGAGCGTATGCACGGTTGCAAGACGTTACGCAAGTCAAAAAGTATCTTGCTTCAAGATGCTACTATTCCGAGCGGCATAACAGAGATGGGATTTGAGCTTACGATTCCTGGCAACTTGTGCAGCTCTTTTTCAAACGATTTTTGCGACATTACACACAAAGTATACGCTATCGTCGTCCCTACTGGCAAATTCACCAAGGAGATCCATGTCGAACGAGAGATCAAAGTATGCAAAACATTGATGCCAAGGGATGTTGCTTATGGATACGTGGATGGATATCGAGTGCCCCGATTAGTGATGCATGGTAAACGATCAGGATTACTCGCTTGGGAGTTTCAGGTGCCACGTTGGGCTTGTCTCGAAGAAGGAACATTGGAATTCAATGGTGTCTTACATACCCATCCATCCACATCCTATGAATGGACCATTGAAAGAATACAAGTGGATGTCGTTCAAGAAGAAATCTATCGAGATGAGACCATGTAAGTGTGTGTGGCTAAAGTGAGTTATCTCTTTTTTCTTTTGCCTTATTGATCATCCTTCCCCTTTTTTTATAAAAAGGAATTCCAAGCGGCATCTTGTCATATCCAACAATACGCCATCCACCTATCTTCATCCGCCGCTCGATACCCCTATTTCGTTTTCATTCCCGTTACAGCAGCAACTCAACAATACCCTTCCATCGATCACCACCACCACCACCACCACCACCACCAGCACACCCCAACCGGGCCAATTGAGACGAGTCGTATCTGTGCCCACCTATTTATCAGGCATGGGGTATCCACCAACATCCAAGCGGAAAACAATCTCGCCTAATGGAAAAGTGACACTTTTATCCCATGGTTCATTGACATATTCGCTTGATTCCCCTTTCCTGGAGATCCGCCATTTTATCCGCCTCATTATCCACGTGGCAGGTGAATCATCACCCATTTGCATTGGATTGCCATTTCAGATCACTCCTTTTCTAAACTTACGAGAAGACCAACAGAGCAATGATGATGGATTACCCACCTATCAAAGCATCTACCGGGATGAAGAAAGGTTGCCAGATTACGTCGCGTCGTTGAGTATCGCCCACCAAAACAATGAGATTGTTGAAGAAAGCGAAGTCGATGAATCACCACCACCACCACCACCACCACCAACACAACAGCAACAAGCATCCTCATGTTGTCTTTCTACATCCACCCATACATCATTATCCACCATAGCACCCAGACCATTGAGGAGAAATCACCAATACTCTTCATCTCAACCTTACGGATTACAGTTGTTAGCCGGTAGCACTTCAATCGCTTCCCTGCAGCATACTGGGCCTGTCACGCATTGTGGAAGCTTAGCAGAAGAGAGAACACTAGATGATTTTTGGTTACATGGAAGCATTTGATAATAACTACTGCTATAAACATGTTCAAACAGGTTATCATGATTGATCCCTTCTCGATGACGCATTAGCATCATCCAAAGTTTTATTATTGCATGCAAGCTCCATGATTATTGTGGTTCACTGGGAGGGATGAGCAGACGTCCATTGCATAGTACGACCTCCGGACTTGAATAGCATTGGACGTAAACGCGTTGGTGGTAGTACAGATACTCGGATACATGTTGCTCACGATGGTGGTTTCTTGTAGTGGAGTACGTGATAGAATGCAAGGTTGTATCACTCGTTCAACCCTTCCATGTATGTACGATGTACGTAGTAGACATGGTGTATTGTTGAGTGCTGCTGACGCACCAAGTGACATGAGTCAATATGATGGGGGTGGTGGTGGTAATGGAAGGTATACTGCGGGATGGGATGATGAGCGTAAAAAGAGAGAGAGAGATTTTTAAGTTTCAAGCTTGAGGAACGAATCAGAGTGCGTAATACCATTTTTGACAGGTATAGCTAAATGTTGTGCCTTTCATCGCCGCCGCCGCCACCATAACAGAGCGTACCACACACACACACACACACACACAAAATTTGTGTGGGTGGAGTGAATCAAGGCCGATCCTCCTCTCTCTCTCTCTTTCTTTCTTTCTTTTTTCCCCCTCTACATTCACGCTTGACATGTCGTCGTGTGCTGCTGTGTTGGAATCGCTTTCCAAGTTATCCATTACGCCAAAGACAACTTCGCATGAGGCTGCCGCTGACAACAAGACTTGGTCCTCTGCATTGTCGGCTGCCAATCCCGGCTTTGACTACCAGGTCACCAAGACTTTGATTCTCAAGCCCAAGACTGCCAAATCGGCTACTCCCACTCCAGTCGTCGCCATTGCCCTTGACTCCACCGAGACCAACGTTACTGCTCTTGGCAAAAAGCTTGGTTTGAAAGAATGCCGTTTCGCCAACGAGGATTTCCTTCAGGGCACTTTTGCTGTAGCTAAGGATGCTGGTAAGTGTTGTCTATCTATCTATCTATCCATCCTACGCGATAAAAGTATATTCACATTTGCATTGATAGTGTCTCCCTTTGTCTTGTCCAATGTGGCTGACCTTTCTACTGTTCACTTGGTGGTGGATGCCGCTATTCTTGCATTGCCTGGTTCCACTTTGATTGCTTTCCGTCAAGGCGCAGCTGACAAGACTATCTTCATCACTGTGGATGATTTGAAGGCTTATTTCAAGTCCATTGGCAAGGATGCTGTTGAGGTTGATTTCAAGGAATTGGCTGCTGCTGCTGCTGCTGCCAAACCCGCCAACAAGCCTGCCGGTAACAAGGCTGCTGCTGCTGCTCAAAAGCCTGCCAAGGAGGGTAAGTGAGGAAAGGAATCAGGAGATGGTATGAAGGAATGGGATAGCTGATCAATCTATCTCTCTTTGTATCAGCTGCCGCTGCTGAGGATGTCCATCAAATGGGTATTGAGTTCAAGAAGGATGTCGATCTTCCAAAATGGTATCAACAGGTGAGTCTAAATGAGTCAAAAAGATGGTTCTAGAATCTCATGCATGGTGGGTATGATAGGTCTTGCTCAAGAGTGAAATGTTGGATTACTATGATGTGTCGGGCTGTTACATTCTTCGTCCATTGGCCTATAATGTTTGGAAGCAAATCACCAGTACGTATATTTTATACATGATGCATGGAGTTGGTCAACTGACACACGCCTTTGTAATAGACTTTTTCGATGATGCCATTAACGAGATGGGTGTTGAGGATACCTATTTCCCCATGTTTGTCTCCAACCGTGCTTTGGAACGTGAAAAGGACCACATTGAAGGTTTTGCTCCCGAGGTTGCTTGGGTCACCAAGGCTGGTCAAAGCGATTTGGAAGAACCAATTGCCATTCGTCCCACCTCTGAGACTGTCATGTACCCCTATTTCTCAAAGTGGATCCGCTCTCACCGTGATCTTCCCTTCCGTATCAACCAATGGTGCTCGGTCGTTCGTTGGGAATTCAAGAATCCTCGTAAGTCTCTTAACTTGTCATGCATGATAGCATCCAATATCACTTACACACACACACACATTTATATAGAACCTTTCCTTCGTACCCGTGAATTCTTGTGGCAAGAAGGTCATACCGCTCATTTGACGCTTGAAGGTGCTGGCAAGGAAGTGCGTGAAATTCTTGACTTGTATGAACAAATCTACAATGATTTGCTTGCATTGCCTGTGGTCAAGGGTGTCAAGTCTGAAAAGGAAAAGTTTGCTGGTGGTTTGTACACTACGTCGGTGGAAGGTTTCATTCCTGCTACGGGTCGTGGTATTCAGGGCGGTACCTCGCATTGCTTGGGTCAAAACTTTTCAAAGATGTTCAACATCACTGTGGAAGATCCCAACGCTCCTGCCAATGCATCTGAAGAGGCCAAGAAGATCCATGTGTGGCAAAACTCTTGGGGTCTCTCGACTCGTACCATTGGTGTCATGGTGATGGTTCACGGTGATGATAAGGGTCTTGTGATGCCTCCTCGCGTGGCACTTATTCAATCTGTTGTTATCCCTTGTGGTTTGACCGTCAAGTCGACTCAAGAGGATACTGACAAGATTCACAATGCATGCAAGGATGTTGCTGCTCGTCTCAAGAAGGCTGGTGTAAAGTCAAAGGCCGACATGCGTGACAATTATACCCCTGGCTTCAAGTTTAACCACTGGGAGTTGCGTGGTGTTCCCCTTCGTCTTGAGGTGGGTCCAAAGGATCTCAGCAAGAATCAGGTCACTGCCGTTCGTCGTGACAATGGCGCCAAGTTTGCTATCCCTCTTGACAACCTTGAAAAGGGTGTCCAAGAAGCTCTCGACACCATCCAAAATGACATGTACCAACGTGCCAAGAAGCAGCTCGATGACGCTATTACCCGTGTTGACAAGTGGGAAGACTTTGTCCCTACCCTTAACGCCAAAAAGTTGTGCTTGATCCCATGGTGTGATCGTGAAGATTGCGAGGAAGAAATCAAGGATAAGTCCGCTCGAGTGTAAGTTGTCATGGATCATCCATTTTGGTTGTATAGGTAAAAACTCACACAACTTTTCATAGTGCTATGGAAGGTGAAGAAGAGGACGAACGTGCTCCTTCCATGGGTGCCAAATCCCTTTGCAAGCCCTATGCTCAACCCACTGAAAACCCCATCATCCCTGGTGAAACCAAGTGTGTTGGTTGTGGTCAAGATGCCAAGCACTTTATGCTCTTTGGCAGAAGCTACTAAACCCTTTCTTGTAAAAAAAAGAATCATTTCATTTCTTCATGTACCATTGTTTTCTTTTACGCATCGCTCCATAATAGAGACGGTCATCATCCATTTAATATACAAAAATCATTTCTTTCTTCAAAGTCTACTAGTTATCGCTTATATTTCTAGGATAGATCAGATGATTAGGATATATATATATATGTATATGAATGAACAATACAAACTTACATCTTGGTTTTGTAACCGCATGTTGGGATCAATCGAATTGCGTAATCCAACCATGATGCTGTGGAACGCTCCTGTAAGTCCAATCATAGGCTTGATGACAGCTACCGGCACTGCACGTATCACAGCTTTTGCATGATGTCCATTGTCTTCCCCCACAACTTCAGTTGGCACGGCAAAGATCGTCTCTGCAGCTGCACCTAGATTACGACTCAGGCTTTGATACGCATATTGGAACCCTTGTGTAAGATCGGATGGCTGATGAGCAAATTTGCTGAGCGTGGGTTGTTGTTGCTGCTGTTGTTGTTGCATGGATAAAGGTGTTGTCTTTGATGGTACAGTGGTTGCATAAATATACCCTTCTTCATCTTCAAATAATTCAATGGCATCCGTAACGACTTGCTCACGTCGCGATGTGGCTGTGGATGATGTTGACGATGAGGACGAGAAAAAATCATCGGCTTGTTCAAGGATCACTTGTGCACCGGATGCAAACCTCGCACTCAACTTGATAGCTTCCATAGCTGTTGCACGTGCAAATGCTTGTGTCCCCTTTTGTAATCCTACAATACACAAATAAACAAATCATTCTATGCAAAAAGAGAGAGACCCGAAATCTTACCTCGCATAATGCGGCCATCTTTACGGTATTGTTGAATCGGCAGTAATACGAGATCGGCGACACCGTTACCAAGATTGACAAAGGGACGAATGGGTGCAACACCTGAAAGCATGTGAGGTACTTGCGTATTCTTGATATGTGGTAGCCATTCTCGCATCAACCTGTCAGCTAGCCGTGTAAAGCCATTGATACCCGTAAGCTTGACATGGCTCAATTCGATATCTGCTTCATCCAATCGAAATAGGTTGACGAGCTCTGCAAATTGTCCTTCCTTGATGTTGCCGTAATTGACATACTTTGGCTTATAATCAATCTTTAGCACAATGGGATGGATCTCGACCGATTCTAGATAAACAAAGGCGATGATGAACAAGCGTGAAACGTATTATCATTATTAGAACAACTTACGTAAAAAGACCTCTTGCTGTTGGTCATCCTCCTCCTCCTCCTCATCGGCATCAGCTTCTTCGGTTGCTGGCATTTTGATGGCATCATTGGCATAGGTGGTAGAGTGCAGCAAGTTTTTGTCAAACGTAAAGTACTTGACCATGAAATTGAGTGCATCTTGATCCACATACAATCGCAACGGTAATAATTTAAGCTTGACTCGAAACTCCAGTGTTGGATCCTGATCGATGGGGCGTATTCCTTGCAAATCCACATGAAGCATCATGGAGCCACGTTCCCTTGGCAACGAATGTGAATCCGGCCTCATGTATCCAAGGAACTTGTTCCATGACGATGTCTTTACATTGTCAATCACTTCAAAGTCACGCACATCCAGTACGAAATGGATCCCTGTTCGCTCGGTTTCGGGCATCAAGTCGAGTTCAACGGATACACCATTCACATGCATTTCAATATCAGGCGTTGGATATCGCTGCTGATGCTGATGCTGATGCTGATGGTGTCTATCATCGTAATAAATATCATCGGGCGAATGACCAAAGAGATCCGTGGGTGAACCATAGGATGAAGATCCAGCATCAATGCTGTTTGCTCGTGAGAGGCGACTATCAATGCTGCTAGAAGAGGTGGGTCTTGAGGAGGCGGATGATGATCGCATCGATCGCATGTACTTGAATTCATAGCCATCGTACAAGTTCCAAACAATATCAAAGTTGTGTATACGCAACGAAAGGAGTGAACGTGAAGTATCTACACCAGGCCTGCCGGCTCGCATCACCTGCTTGTCAGTGCTATAAAAGTTTTCCACAATGACAAGCTCATCCAAATCGTGCATTAGCAACCGACACGCACTCTCGTTCTTTGTTGCCATGTTGGGATGTTGTGCTGCATGTCTTCGTCTTGGCTTTTGTGGTGGTGGTCTAGTAGCTTCTGTAGAATAATAGCCCTCGACATAGCCAAGATCCAGTACATTACTTTGGGGACGTGATGATGATGATGAGGATGAAGCTGATGACATGACATTGGCTGTAATTCTTCTGAAAGCATCGGGATCAAGGCTGGCAAGCATGTCTGGATTGTCTTCAGGGCTACGATGCTTGGTAACAATCGGTTGCTTTCCATGTGCCTTTGTTTTCCTTTTTGGATGATCCTCTTTGGTTTGCTGCTGCTGTTGTTGTTGCTCTGTATCCAAGTCGCCTTGATTTGCAACGTAAGTGACAAAGTTGATGAGTGAATGAAACGAATCCGTGCATCCTTCCAACACCAGGACATTGTTGAAGATCGTCACTTCCAAATTGGGAGCCAACACCAAATCATCCAACTTGGCTTTGATCAATGCATCAAATTGTACCACCGAAATCACACTTGGGAACCCAAGATTGGACCAATATTCCTTAGCACTCACACATGTGCTTCCACGATGGCCAAAAACATGATCAAGGTGCTGGTCATCGATATCATGGTCATCATCCACAAGCATCACATCCAATCTTTCGAGGAACGTCTTGATAGAAATAATGGGTTGACCACTGGACACGATATCGGTAATGATCTATACACGAAGGTAAGGAGATCATGCATGCATGAATAGGTGTTTTCATACTCCGTACCTGGAAATCATCAATAACAATGACTGCACGTGATGGCAAATGGATAGGCTTGTAATCAATCGACGTATCCAAAATGTGGGCATAAACCTTATTGTACTGCGTCGGTGGATCAATAAAGACCATCTAAAACGTAATCGATAAGCAACTTGGAATACCACTATCTCCATATTTTGACGTTTTTACCTCTTCTGGCGTCTTTTGAAAATCAACCAATTGCTCTATGAAATCAAGATCCATGCTGAACCGCCAACAAAGATTGCATGCCACCACGCTGGTAATCTTGTGCTGCTTATTGAGCGCATAATCATTGAAGAGCTTGGCAAACACAGATATCATTGCTGTGTTTCGTTTCGGCTAAATGATAGTATAAGTCATCCTTGTTTTCACCATGCTTTGCATGACTTGACAACTTACGCTGAGTTCGCCGCTGATTGTCTTGTATAAAATGGGTCGTTTGAAGGGTACAATTTGGTCCAAAGTCAACTCATCAATATCCAATGTGGTCACATTTTCATCCTACAAGGATTTCAATGAGCAATCTAGTAGTAGTAGCGCAATAGCACACGCTTTTTTGACTTACCGTCCCAAGATGCTTGACAACAGTAAAGTAACGAAATTCGGACATCCGTACTCGATAGCTTGCCTTGTTTGTCTTGTCTTTGGAGCTCCAATGCAAATCCCATCGTGCTATATAACCCACGTCATCATAAGTCTACATTTTCAATGTATGCACGCCATCCCTCATTTACCATCACTCATGACTGCAATTAACGATAATAGGCTTGATGCATGTGTCAAGTAGCCAAGGCGTTCATGGCTCTGGCTCAATATACTGGATGCACGTAGAGAAGAACCAGCAGCATCATAATCGCCCGATCGTCGAACAAAGCTATCGCCTGATACCTTGTCGCCTTGTTTGGCAGCTTGAACGCGAGAAATGAACTTGGGTTGCCATAGTAACAGGTCATTTTGCAAGATTTGCACTGTATCCCACACCTCTTTGGCCAAATTCATGCGCGTGGAAGGGAAATGACAATTCACCACAAAAAGCTAATAACAGAAATGTTAGCATATACAATCATCCTCAACCTGATTCTTACTACTACTACTTACCGATGTTTCCACTGTTCTTTGTTTGAACATCATGGCTGACTCCGTTTGATCTTCCATAGGTACATGCGGCTTTCGACTAGCGTCCAAGGATTCATTCTTGTTCAAGTGCTCAAATAGGTTATTGGGTATATCGGATCCCGATCCAAAGTATCCTGATTTAGCAGCTGGTACGGTGGGTGCATGCATGGAATCAGATAATCGCACGGTGATTTCAAATGTGGGTGCTTGGGGTATAGCCACGGTGGATGTGGTTGAAAACGTATCAGGCTCTTGAGGTGGGATGGTTTTTGCTGTGAACCAGCAGCGGGATGCGGTGTCTATAGATAAATCAAGATGATAAGTACTCTCTCTCTCCAACATGTGTATGCACACCTCCTTACCATGCGCTTGCTTGAGAAAGACATTGATAAAATCACATTCAGCTTGCAACTTGATGGGTGCGTCTAAGTTGGACGTTGTGCCAAGATTCATTCCTTGAAATGGTGTATGTGCAGAAGTCGGCTCTTCTTGTCCACCATCACCCTCCGATTTCCATGATATGCCAAATTGTTTGATATCCACGCTGAGAATATCCGAATGCAAAAGATCATTGAATTCATCCCGTACGCACACTTGACTCATGTCAGGAACATAAAGCAAGATGCGAATAAAGCCACATTTGAAGCTGGCGGATTTGCAATGCTGCCGTTTGGTTGATCCTCGATCCAAATCTTCATAAATACGTTGCCCAAGCGAACTATCCAGATTGCTATATACACAATGTTATTAATCATTATCCTCAAAAGTCGCTTTGTTACATACCTCATCTCCTGTGGCCTTGTTGGCTTATCCCATTTTTCAGTCAATTCCATCATTGCATACACATAATTCTCGAATCGATCGGCCACTTGAGGATCCACATGTATCTTGAGTGGCATGATGGTGATTTGGGTATTTTCCTCGAGACTTGTAGCTAATAGCATGGGAGCAAAAGATAAGTAAGCATATACCTTGTAGATGAGTGAATACGACATACCATTGACAAAACGCCTGGATTGATGTGCATGTTTCTTTTCCACTCGTATCCTGATGACTTCATGGTGATGGGACTTGTCACGATGATGATGATGGTGGGAGCGTATGCGATGGGTAGCGTGGGATTGTACAATGCTAGGAAACTGGGTATCATGCCGATAATCATGCATTATGCTGTCATCGAATTCAAGAATGGGTAGGTAACGTTCATAAGGAATCTGCCATGCGCGTTCTGCCGCCGCTTTCTTTGACGACCATGGTTCAAATGAAGGCCGCCTTATCCATTCATCAACCGACATACGCTTGACCTTGATATCAAAGGTTGATAATAATGAAGATGCTGCTGCTAGCGTTGACTCATCCTTTCTTTGTGCGTTGTTGTTGTTGTCTGGGAATTGTTGATAACGTGCAACCAGTTCGCGGATCGCTAATCGAATATGGCCAATCTCCTTACAGCCATTGCATTCATAGGTTTCCCACATGGATGGTGGTGGTGGTGATAAATCAGGTCCATCATGCACGAGAAAATAAAATTCCATCTCATTGATTTGAAACTTGATCTTGATATCAGGTACAGAGGATGCAGATGTTGATGCTGCTGATGATGAGGTGGTGGTGGTGGAGGAGGGTGTCGTCATGTTGGGTATAACGAGTCGAGGAGGTGAACGAATACGATCGAAGCCAAGATCAGGTGATGAGCTTTGAGAAAGAAGAATGCTATCCATTCTGGGTATACTGGATGTCGTCATATCAGGTGTAGAGGACTCCGATGTTGAAGAGGAGGAAGAGGAGGTATCAGTCATTGCATCCATCGTATGCTTTAATAAATCAGCAAGGAATGCGGCTTGTCGAGGTGTGATCATGGTACGGATATGCGAACATAAAATGTCAATTTGTTTGATGGCTGATGTATGATCGGAGAGGCGCGTTGGATTCAGCGGATAAGAAGGTCGCATTTGTACTCGTATCCAATTCTCCTTGTCGAACATAGTAAATAATAAAGCTTCATACGGCTTGTTGGTATTGTTGCTAGATGTCGAAAACGCTCCATACGCTCTAGGTGTCGTTGATCCACTCATAAAACTCGAATGAATAGAATTGCTTCCACCACCGTATAACCCTTCATTGGCTTCATAGAATTCTGTTTGCTCCAAATCGCTGTTCTCATCATCATCATTATGGAGTCGAGTTTCACTGTTGGTTGGTATAGAATACAAGGGTCCATTGTTTTTTGATCGTATCCATATGGAAGGGGATGACAAGGTGATGATTTTGATGGTATTGTTGTTGATATGGATACTGGACTCATCAAGCGGTTGTTGTGATGATGGCTTGTTGAATTCTGGTGTTTCATCAAAGTAAGAGATGCGTGCGATTTGCAAATCGAGATAATATTCATCATGATGGGGTGAAGGTGGAGCCGCTGATTTATGCAAGATGCGAACGGTGGTATCAATAACATCGACTTTGACTTTGGCCAACATCTTATCGATCACCCGAGTGAGTACTTGAAGTCCTTCCATGCCAATATCCACGTCTCCTTGACGATCACTGGATGATGATGTTGATATGTGCATTGACTTTTGTATTGAATCCATCAATTCTTGATCCTCCATTTCGGTTCTCAAAAAATCATCGGCGAAATGAAGAGAAGATGACATGATTGGCGGGTCATCATCTTCTTTGTTACGTGCTGCATAATCAATCCTCCATATTAGCTAGCTACCCATTAGTCTCACTCACCACACCCCCCCTTTGCCACATTGATACTTACATTTCCGGCGAGTCTTGACAGGTCGTAATGTTAATTGTAATCCTTGAACCTTGAGTGCAATGATACCACTGGCAAGATTCGACCATGGTAATGACGCTGTAATCGATCCCACTTTGCCTTCCACAAGCACAAACGGCGTATCGGCAATACAATCATTCAGTGTCTAATAATCATCATCATGGCAATGAATACATGCTTTGCTCAGCAGCAACCTCCTTGCTGATCCTCCATGCTCACCTCTAGATTCAGGTCCAGATCTCGCAGCTCCACAGACCCATTGTAGAGCTCAATGTCAAAGTTGTCGAGATCCAACTCCTTGGCAAGGAACTGGCCGATAGCTTTACGCAGCAGAAACTTGTAGAGTCGTTTTTGGATATTGGTGGGTAGGGCAAAGCTGTTCCAAAAGGAAGGTAGGAATTGCCAGGCCTTCATGGGTGAAATTGGCGTTGACTGTGAGTGATAGTAATGACGAAAGAAAGAAAGAGCGGTGTTGGTGAGTGGGTACGTGTGTGAGTTTGTCAACTGACTCAAAGGGGTAAAGAATAACAAAAAGAGAGAGAGAAGTGAGAGAAGAGAGGAAGGTGATTATTACATCCAAGTGACTTTTACCATGCCCAGCTGACCATTACAGCGCCAATGCATTATCCTCCTCTTTCATAAATCACGCTTATTGACTCCGCCTCATGTCTCACATCATGCATCGTGTGAATATGTTTGACATGCTCTTGTCGTCGTATTAATCACTATTCCAAGTCTCACTTTTGCTACATGGAGTATAAAGAAAATGAATCTATAACAGGATGACAACATGATAAGCCCTCGTGCTACACCAGCCTTTCCTTTCAAGGACATCTGCTGCTGATCATTGTCATGCACATTACATTCCCCTTGCGTATAAAAGCATGATTTGTGATTGTCAAGGGTGGTCACTGTGAAGTCGCACCATTGCAAGAAATAATGACCTGCTTGATATTCTACGTGCATCAAGAAGAAGCGATCACCATCTACGAGTAAAGTGGATTTTATTAGTATACTGGAGGCATCTTACTAGAGATGTGGACCATCAACAAGAGAATGTAGTATTCGCATTCATTGTCAAGCAACAAGTCCCTTGAGATCGAGTGATTGGCAAATCTATGCATGATGCGCTTTTCGGGGTAAAGGAATATAGCGGGTTTTATGATTAAGCTAGCCATTCTCGAACACTGGCACCGTACATTGTAAAAAGTCAACGTGGCCAAAGTAAAAAACAAGTCTAGTATATATAAAAGAGCATTTACTTGTCTCGTGTGTGATGGAATATTAACAAAGAGGTCAACGAAAGTGAGGAGAGCAAATACTGTGGTGGTGGATATATGAATGAATGATTGTTGTGTAATAAGTAAGGGAGAGGGAGAGAGATAAAGATGAGAGAGAGAGAGGGCTATTTGTACAAAATGATGCGAAAAAGAGAAACAAAAACAAAGAGAGATGACTATTGGATACTAGTGGATGATGATGGATCTTGGATAGAAGAGGTTGTTGTTGTTGCTGGGGGAGCAGACATACGAAGTCGAATGACACGTCGTCGAGGTATTTTCTTATTCCTGGATATCGGGCCCACCTTTTTGCCAATATGCGGTAAACTACGAAATGTGGCATGGTCTATGGTGTATGCAAAGGGTGATAGAGTATGATTGACACTGGTCAATTGGGCCAATTTAGCAGCAAGGCCATTCTCACTTGGGTCCACAACGATTTCTTGATCCATGGCCATCACCAAAGGTTGATCATCCGTGTTGGTAGAAGGTAACTCGGGTCCCTCAGTAACATACCACGGCACATCGGCATCCTCAGCATACATATCAGCAACCACGGTAGCCGAGTTGACCGAAGATCCATTCAATGAGGAAGTCATGCCATCATCTGAAAAGAGCTCGTCATCATGTAATGCTTGGAAACGTCGACTGTACAAGTCGTTGAGATCGGCAACCGAAAGTGGATCGAATGGTAAATGCGATGGGTGGTAGATATCACTAAACGTGGGTGGTGGAGACATGTAGGGTGGTGGTGAACGTAAATCGGGCATCGAACGTGGTGAATAAGGAGGACCCGCTGCTGCTGTGGTGGTGGTGGAGGCTGTTTCATCCTTTGTGTCCTTTTGCAAGTATCGCAAACTCAAATTGTGGATCATCACCGGAAGATCTTCTTGAAAAAGGTTGCGTAATTGCTTTTCAATCTCGCGTTGCAAAAAGTTGCGTATACTCGTGATGCTGTCAAATGTTGAACTGACACGGATGCTTTCCAAAGGATCATTCTTAAACACCAACGTGATGCCTTTTGTCTTTGAGACAACCAGGACAACAATGCCTCGTAACTTGAGATCGCTAATACGCAATAACATGGGTACCACCAATGGTTTATCCGCAGCCAAGATACCGGGTCGAATATGCCGCGCCAAATCTGTATGCTTGGCATGCATTGGATTGGCCTAACATTGGGTGGCGTAAGTTTTCAAGGAGAGTATATATACAAAGTCAGGGACATTGTTGTCTATCGTTTACCTGCACTTTTGTTTGTACTACAATGTAGGCATCACCTGCGTATGTCAACTTGAAGATTCCACGGAACTTGTCGGTTGCTAGGTCGCCCACTTCGAGAATTTCAAGGTCGGGTGGCTGTGGGTGATGATGATGATGATGATGATCCATTGTGAGTCAATAGCATGCATACACACATACACACACATTATTCATGTACTTACGGACGTGCCCATATGAAGTTCTTTGACAGTGATATGGTCTACAATGTTCTTTGGCTTGTTTCCCTTGTTCAGGGCAGCTTCTAATTGAGAGCGCGCCTCGTCATAGAATGCAGCGTCGAATTCAGGCCAATTGAAACGGAATGCCATGGGGTCGATCGAGTGTTAATGGAGGGTGAAATGGTATCGAATGCTGATGCGAGAGTAGTAAAAAGCGGGGCGCATGCCTCGTTGTGTATGTGTAGTAGTAGTAGTAGTGGTTGCCTTGGAGAAGAAGAAAAGAAAGAGAGTGGAAAAAATAAGAGTCGGTTTTTCAAGGGAACACGAGACAAAAGTCGTTCAGGGCCAAGCGATATTCCATTGGCTGCAGCTTTGATACGGAGCAACATTTTCTTTTCTATCCTGCGTGTGTTATGTGTGCCTTACAATACCATGGCACATGATGGATCATTTCGAGATCATGAACCCTATCAATGAGATTCATCCCCCCCTCACTTGCAAACGAACAATCAAACAGAGTAGATGAAGAAAAGTAGCACACATCATATATTAGAGAACACACACACACACATTGCACATATGAAAATGAAATGAAAAGTGCACGATCCCATTTCTGTACGACTTTGAGGATTATAATTTACTTTTTCGCTTCTTGTGTAATAATCTGGATGCTACGTACTTCGCCATTAGGGCCGATTAAAAGACACTTTGCAAGACATCCGCATTCGCCTTCGCCATTTTCCATCGCCATCCTTCGACGATCCGCATTGACCATACTACTCCCCAGTGGTTCTCTTCCACAAGGCAAAAGTCGCCATCCTTGACCCACTCGGTACATCCCGACACGTGTGCCATGACGCATGTGAAACACTAGCAAAAGGCCTCGACGTTCCGAATAAATCACTAAAAATGTGGAGATCCGAGCTGGCTTTGTGCGTTGCTGTTGTTGTCCTGATGATAATGATAATAATGGATTGGCTTCGTCGGGTTCTGCTACTTCCACCCATCCACATACGGTATCACGTAATCCTTTCCACATCCGTATCATTTCCCCAGAGGGTACGTCCCACAAAATCACCCTTCCTAACGTGTCGCAAGTGGCAGCCAATGTGCTTCGCTGTGAGCTCGCTGAAATGGGACCCATCGAAATGCTGGTGATACGTCGCTCAGGATCATTAAGCGTCAACACCGATGGAATAGGCGTAGCGGGTTCAATATGAGAGGGTGGTGCATGCATGGAGGGTACATACGGTGAAGGTGAGCTCGACGTGCTGAGGGAGTTGTTGTTGTTGTTGCTGTTCGATCCATTGTTACCAGACCACCATGATTTGGCAAAGGAAAATACAGGCGTGGTTACACGTGACACTACATAGCTTGCCATGGAAACGGCAGACATCAACGGTCGACTGGATTCAGTAGTTGCATAATAGGAGATCATAGGTGCATCACCAACAGCGACATAGCGAGAGGTTGCAGCTGTGAGGAAAGGATTGGTGGATACAGTATTCGATTGGTCGAGTAATGTAGTTGTTGAAGTGGCCGACCGAGGAGGAGAAGGGCCTGTTTCACATTTATATATTATCAATAAATGAGTACATAGCGCAATATCAAATAGGTTCACTTACCAAGACTCACAACATCACGTACTCGTTCTTGCCTTTGCAACTCGTACTTTTTGTAAGTGAATGCTGTTTGCATACGTGAAGCATCTATTTCCCATCATGAATCATCATGCTCTTTTTTGTTATCCACTCCCTTCTCTTCTGACCTATACCGCTTTCTCTTTGTCCATCGCATACGCGCAACACCATCCATAAACTTTGACCATCAATGCTGACCACGCGATTCCCTTCAAACAAAATGGTGATCTCCTCATCATCGCAAGTGTGTGTAACGGTCTTGTAGATAGGTGGTGGTGTTCTCATTTTGATGGATAAGATGGGGGCCGGTTCCAAGAGTTGAGCTGTCAACAATGTCCCTGTCTGCAGCAGCAGCATTAAAAAAATCATGCAGCGTGCCTCCATATCGTAATTGATCATTTACCTCCGAAAACACACGAAGCCATCCAGTGCTATATCCTGCCATCACAAACATTTGACTACAAGTGATGATGATAATGAGCTCATGTCATTGTTTGATCCCCCCCCTCCCCTAAAACTTACTTTTTACGTATTGATGGCACAAATAACGGCAGACAAAGAATGGCTGTAATGGTTTCACTAGGATCCATCCATGTTAGATGCAACAATGGAAAAACCTACCCCCACCTTCGTTACAAGTCAACTTACTCTTCCTGTTCACATCCTGATCCTTGACCAACAGCACAATATTCATCTTCTTCCTCATTCAATTCGACCACCACAAACTTGGATTTGTGTGCCAAGACAATATGTCGTCCACCTGCCGATGCTGATGCCATGTATGTTTCGGTGAAGGGTCCAAATGCATGCGTGAAATCACTGATACTGTTGTTGATATTGTTTGATGCCTTTGGTTCCTATGCAAAGAATAGATGAGTTTATACATTGCTCACATGGCATCTCCCTCGTTTTGACGCACCTCGTCTATGCTCCAACCCCAGTCCTTATCCCATGAATCATCTAAATAAGCATGTTAATGCATACAATACTCAAAGAAAGATATGAAAGGAGAAGGAGAAGAGAGAGAGAGAGTGAGAGAAGGGGGTTTTACCCTGCCTTGATCATCTTTATTGTCATCGTCAAGTTTGGATTCGTCTGCTGTAGTCTGTTCACTGACATCTTGAATGACGGTTGAGACCTTGGGTATCCTTCCCACCAATATGGATAATATAGGTTGTGGAATGTTGTGATGGGGTGCAAGGACGCATTTGAAGTTCTTTGTCATAACGAGTGGGGTTGCAGGAAAAAGTGCGCGCGCAAGAGACTAAATCTCCCCCTCTCCTCCTCCATTGTCCATATAAAGACAGCAGCAGCTCACGCGCGTCAAATGGATCCATCATGTGTGTGTATGTGTGCATAATGCAGAAAGAAAAAGATCATTTTATATATATATAGAGAGAGAGGGATGGTTTACGCATTAAGTCTATCCTGTAAATACTGTGTATTCTCCTTGATCACACCATTAAGCACCTTGTGTACTTGCATACATCCTTGTGTTGCTAATTCCATCACACCTTGTAAACTATCAATGTGGAGACGCGATTCCATCTAAGCACATACCACCACACGTTTAGCTTCAATCTCTCCATCCATCCTATCTTAATTATCCTCCTCCTACCTCGACCAAGTTGACCTTGCCACTCTGGGGTAAAATGGCCACCGTCAATTCTGGAGCATCCGAGGATTCTTCGAGATTATTGAGATCTAATATCCAAGTAAAAGTTTAGATCCCATTTGCCAACCAACCATGGACGACGACAACAACAAAAATCACTTACCAAGCACTGGCACCCTGTCTATTGATCCAGCCGAACATGCACACACATAGTCATTCATGGGAATACCTGCATCAATCAATGCCATGGTAGCTGCATTGATACAGCTTTGAAGCACGCCACCATCATGTTGAAAGATTTGCAAATAGATATCAATTTGAGATCGTGGAAATTGAGAAGTAAGGATCACTGGTTCAAATGTTTGACGAATAAAGCTGGCCATCTCAAGGGATCGTCTAATCATGAAATGTGTATAAGTCAACGTGATATGGGGGTTAACGTTGTCGTCGACTCGCTCGCTTACTTGTCATTCTTGGAGCGTTTTTTTCGTTCACTGAAACTAAAGGGAGCGATATTGAATTCCACATTGAGGATGGCTCGATCAGAAAGCATTTGTTGTCGGTAACGTGCCTACAACAAGGTCGTGTCAATATCATCATCATCATTATCATCCTATAGACATGCTTTTTTAACTTACTTCACGAGGACCATATACTGCTGCTAAACATTTGGTATTGCCTTGTTCGATATACGCTGATCCATCGGATTGACTGAATACAGATGTCTTTGCTGTGATCCTCCTCAACTCGTTCGCACGACGACCATCGATGCGTAGACCTAGGGGGCGATCGATCAGCTGTCTTTCTCTCTCTATCCTTGTAGTAACGCATGCGTTCAGTATATATACCTTCAGGTGTGATCAATTCAAGACGAGACTAGCAGCTTTCCTGTGAGCCATGGGGTCCTTTTTCCAATGCAAAGAGAGAGAGATCTGCTTACCATTGTGTTCTGGCTAAACCTGTGTGGCTCCTATCAAAAAAATCGGTGATCGAGTTGGCTGTGAATTCAGCAAACAAGCATTGACATAATTTCCCCTTCCCCTGCCTGCCTATGTATCCATCAAGTTCCTCCAAGACTTTTTTTTATGAGAAATGAGAATAAAGCATTCATATCTTTCTAATCCAAGTCGTCAGCCTATCCTTCGCATACATAATTCGAGTGCTACCTGCTGTATTGACAAGGAACAATTCAGCTAAAAACACGCCAACTGCTGCTTAATAGAGCATCACAAGTTGTCTTCAAGTAGGGCAGGATAAGTAGTGGAGGCGATCCAAAGGTGCAAAGAGCGTATGGCCTGGTCAAGAAACAAGTTGACTTGATCAATCAAGTATAAACACACGCGTGATGTTGTATGTAGGGTCGACCTTGTTGCCTAGGTAACAATGATCCTAACACGTGCCCATATTGTCATTATGCATGGATACAATGAACAACAAGACATTTTATTCACCATGCTACTTTGGTATTCATGATACATAAGTCGAGTGGAGTGGGGTGGATGATGTCTATTGTTGCCATGACGACAATACTACTACCACTGCTGCTGCTACGTTTCAGGATAAGACGACTCCGAACAGGCGTTTGAGATTGCGCCCTTTATACGCATTCTTCCTTGTTTCTTGTTTTCCACTACAACCACTACTACCCCCTCTTTACCTCGATGGATCCCGTGCATTACTGTCCAACATACGCTCCATTCTTTGGCTTTGCGGGAGTCTTTGCTGCAGTATGTCTACTTTTATTAATGCCCTTATTTCGGATGACTTGAAAACTAACTTGCCCCATCTCTTCACGCGACCTTACTAGATGGCATTTAGCTGTACGTGTATTCCATGTCAGGTTCCATTGTATCGACTTTATACTCAATGCGTTTATTCATAGCTTTGGGAGCTGCATACGGTACTTCCAAGGCCGGTATCGGTATTGCTGGTATCGGTCCTTTCAAACCTGAGCTCGTCATGAAGGTATACCTCCATTACAGCATATACACATACACCAACCACTTGCTTATACGTATACGTTATTATGATAGTCGCTTATTCCAGTGGTCATGAGTGGTATCGTTGCTGTGTATGGCTTGGTGGTGGCCGTCTTGTTGGTTGGTCAAAGTATGTAAAGTGAAAGTGCATGTTTCAAAAGATTGAATGATGCTGATGAATGAATGAATGATGGATTAGTGTCACCTACTTCGGGCTATTCGCTATTCTCGTAAGTCAACTTGATGCTATATATCATCCTCTTACTGACTCGGTATTAGTGGTTTTGTTGCTCTTGCAGCAGGTCTTTCTGTTGGTATTGGCGGCTTGTCAGCAGGTTACGCTATCGGCATTGTAGGCGATTATGTAAGTAAAGAGAGAGAGATTCACATTTACAAGCTATGAAGTGTTCTAATGCGTGATGAAATGTATATAGTGTGTTCGAGGCTATGCACGTGAAACACGTCTCTTTGTCGCCATGGTGCTTATTCTTATTTTCGCTGAAGTCTTGGGTCTATACGGCTTGATTGTCGCCCTTATCCTCAATGCCAAAGCCGACAACACTGTATGCTAATTGGAGTTAGCTGTATATATCAATATACCATAAAGAATGGCATCATCTTTACTCTGATGAATACGAATGATGATATAGATCAGTTGTTTGGTTATGTAGTACTCTGCTAGTATGAAACAGGATGATGATGATTATGCAGCGGGAAAGTAAAAGCATGGTGTGGCAAGGTTCAAGTGACCGGACCGCATGAATTAATATCCTTCTTCTTTTTACACACCCATATCATCATCCCCTTTCTCTCTTTGTTAACAAACGGCTTGGTCTTGTCTTGAACATTGTCCCTTTGTACATTGCAATTCAGGTAAGCAATGCTGGTTTATACATGTTGGTTTCCCAACTCTGGAATGATCCCCATCGTTCAGTCCATCGCATACATACATACATACACGTGTATCCAACCCACGCACTACCCTCATTCCCTGACAAAGACGAAGAGGTATGTTTCATGTGTTCTTATTATACACTCTTTATTCACTCGTTCTTCATTTAGACTCTATCACCAATATGGATTCAAACCAAAGCAGTGGTTCCTCGGATAACATGGCACAAGGTACAGGCGTACTATATGCTTGTGTGCGTATTAAGCTATTGACTTGATCCTTATCATACGTAGCCGTGATGTGGCAACAAGTACCCACGAGCAAGGCTGATACAATCATTGACGACTTTGAAATGATCGATGACCAGCAACAACAACCTCCACCAACAACAAATGAACGATCCTTCCTCCTATCATCCAACACATCCGAATACTACAGTGATTATGCTGATGCGGGCAACAATTTGTTTGGCACATCCACCTTACCAGCAACATTCTTGCAGACACAGACTCGGCCCGTGTGTTTTCGTGTACTTTTCATGGGCAACACTGAAAGCATTGGCAACATTAATCGATCAAAGACGCTTGTGCTGCGCAAACTTTCTGAAGTGATTGCATCCTTGTTACCACGCAGCTGCAGCACCAACACGCCCACCAATGATCTTGGTACGACCGATTTTCGGGAAAAGACCCACAATGTTGTATTTTTGGATGCTTTTGATACAAGCCCCATTGAAACATACGAGGACAATGGCCTGCATGTGATTGAAGCCGATTTTACCGACAACAATGACGACGACCAATACGAGCGACGTTTAATCAACTATGTCAATACACATGATGTCAACTTGGTGGTCTACTTTTATTACAATCGTAAACAACAACCCGATGAGAGGAACATGGCAATCCTTGAACAATTGAGTGGACGAATGCCTATTTGGCCCCTTTTGGTGTATTCTTCAATCCCGGGAGGAGGTGGAGGTGGAGAACGACCCCATTCGGCAACGGGATATCATCATCAACGTCGCCATCGATCACCTGTGCCACCAACAGCCAATGATTCCATTGCCACACTTGGGCAAAAGTTAGCCGACAAACTTGCTCGTCACCAGATACAAACAATCGATTTGAATTTGACAGGCGTCAATCCTGAAGAACACCCACATTTTGCATCCACCAAGATCACTTCATCATCGACTCCTCCTTCTTCTCACAACAATGACTTGATATTGACAGTCGACCAATTTGCAACCATCCATCGAGATCAAGTGGCTGTCATCTTACAACGGTGGCGTACAGATCATGATAATCAAAAAGGAGGAAATGAAGATCATCATCGTTGGTGGTGGTTGTGTTGGTTACAGAAACAACAACGTCGATCTTTACCATTTTCGTCTACTGGAGGAGCATTGGCAGCAGCTACCATTGTGGGCTTATTACTCTTACTTTTCGGCACACGACTCACAACATTATGGGCACAAAGAAGAAGTACCACCATGGATTTACCCAAAGAGCCTGTGAAGATGCGATTGAATCCAATGTGGGATGTGGTGGATGAAGAAACGTTACGACAGCTATTTGTGGTGGAAGTGGATCCAGAAAGAAAGCATGATGCTTGGAAGGAGCAAACATTGGTGGTCGTTCTGGAAACGGATCATCTTGCTGAAAAGGAGTTTCGCATGACCTATGAACCGGGAACACAGTACAAGTACGTGGTGGATGTACCATCACCATGCCTTATCCACAACACGGGTGATATTCCAGTGCACATTGTTTGGCGATACCAACAAGATGAATCAACCAGGCTAGAACGCACGGTGGCAAATTATCCCGTCTTGTCAATGGAAACATGTCAACCAGTGTATCAGCGCCATGTTGCACCTGAATGTGCCCCAAGAACAGCATTATCGGCCGTACGAAGACGTGCTTCATCAATCGAATGGAAATTGTTATTCGGCAAGCTCAAGCATGAATTTAAAAAGCTGGCCCACGACATGTCGAATGCTTGTCAGAATTTGTTTATCAAGCTGCTTAGCTAGAAAGTTGAAAAAAAGGATAATACAAATCATCTATGGATAATAAGCACGCGCCATCTTTTTGTTTCAGTCAATTGTGCCGATTTGTCTGTGTGCATGTGTGTATAGTGTGGCCAAGGCAAATCCAAGTCATCATCATCCCTTCTTCTTTACCTCCCTTGAATCTGCCCGAACATGTGTCTCCTATTCGCCAATCCGTCAAACGGCATCATGATCTTGCATAAAGTTCCATTTTGAACACTTTCTTTTTAAGGACATTACCAACGAGCTCTTTGACCATTTGACAGGGCCCATGCTTCTCATTTGCCTTTCCACCCCCTCCCCCCTTTCACTTGAGAGACTTGAAGATGAGGCTCAAACATTCCCCCTTCCCTCTTTGATCATCTCGGGTAAGGAGCCGTTCTTCCCTCCCCCTTTGATCCGACAAAAATAGACAAGTTCTTTTTGACAAGGGATGATCCTAGGCTGCTGCTACTGCTGCCGATGGTGTGTGTGTGTGTTTTGGATCAAATATAGACACACTTGTCCCTTACTTGTTAACCTACATGGCGCGCGCATCTAAAATATCGTCCAGGTGATACTACACATTGTCACAGGATCAAGTAGACAATAATATCAAAATCAGCCATCTTTGAAAAAAGAGAATGAAAGGCGTATGTAATAACGAGACACACATCTCCTGGTATGTAAGTCCATATGTTTTTGCATCTCGTTTCACGCACAAGCCGCCGTTCCTTTTTCCCTATTGTTCATCCACCTACATACGTGAACCTATAATGTACCTACTTCACCAGCTCAACAAGAGACATCCTCTTTCTTTCTTTCTCTCCCCCCCTCACTCCCGATTCCATAACCATCACCCCCTGCTCTCTCTCACACTCTATCGCTCTTTTTGTTTGGGTGGTGAAGATCACTCGCTTTCTCTGGATTCTTTCTCCCTTCCACCCTTACTGCTCCCTCTGGTACATAAACCGCGTCTTTAAAAAGGGATCGAAGCGTCTAGTTTTCCGATCCGATACACAACTCACTCTTCTTTCACACGACACACACATTCATTCTTTTACATACCACACACATGTCATCACTCTTAGCTCAACACCATCATCATCATCCTGCTACTTTTACTGGTCCACAAAATATTCCCAACACTAATACTACCAACAACAATGATAATGCAGTAACATCATCATCCTCAACAGCTGAGAAACCCAAGCATCGAAAACGAACACGTGCTACAGCGGAGCAATTGGCTGTATTGGAGAATACGTTTGCTGTTACCGTGAGCCCTAATGCCAAGTTACGGAAGCAGCTCTCTGAGCGGCTAAAGATGAGTGAGCGTTCGATCCAAATTTGGTTCCAAAATAGGCGAGCCAAGGTGAAACATATGCAAAAGCGTGCACAACAACAGCAACAACAGCAACGAGCCAACATGTTTTGGAGAGCTCAAAGTGTGGATAGCACACTATTTCATCAACCCTTTGCCTTGACTCATCCAGCAATACCAACAACGACAAGTGATATGATGATGGTTAATCAACATCATCCTTCTTCTACTATGATGCGACCCATGAGCATGCCACCACCAGCCATACAACCTACCACAACCACCAACATGATGCTGCCACCACCACAACAACAACCCTCTTCTCCTACCACTGCAGCTTTAATGGAAAATTTGTATATCCTAAGTGCAACCACATTGACCATCGGTACTTGGCAGCGACTAGCTCTCAATGTCACTGATCTTATGTTGACGTTTGCACAAGACGTATTTGCATGGCACATTTATGATAATGGGCTTCAATTCAAGATCCATATTCCTCTCAGCACGGTCGCTGGTATTACCCAAGATGGCGAGCAAGTCCATTTGGATCTCACAGAGCCACCCCTCTTTTACATGATGACAACGGAACAAGACGGCAAACAACCCCAACGTTGGGTGCAATGCAGTGATTTTAGTGAAGGACAACAAGCTTCCCAGTGTCTGAGACACACCCTCAAAGGCGCTTCTGAGCAACTCAAGCAGGATCTTTTTGCTCTTTTTTACGCCATTGGTCATTTGGTCCGATTTAATACTACCGGTAGTAATATCGTGCAACAACAAGATGACAGTAGCGATAGCAGCATTAGTACCATCAGCAGTAACAGCAGCAGTAACAACAATAATACTTATCATCCTAATGATCCATACGCATGCATGTATCCTCCACCATCACTCCTACCTACCACCACTACCACAGCAGCAGAAAATGGAGATGGTACATTAAGCATTGTAGATGATTGGACATTGCAGCAAATGCTTCCTGTTTCTTGTAGTAACACCACCACCACCACCACCACAGCAGCAGCAACTCCATTCTTTATTGCCCAAGAATAAAATTGGTCTTTCTCTTTGTGTGTACTAGTAAAAGAAAAAAGGAGGGATTTATTCCAACTAAAGAAGGTGAACCACAAATGAACGACAGTGCATATACATCAAGGAGGAAAGGAGGGAGGGAGCTGTGTATGTGTGTGGGTGTGTGGGTGTGTGGGTGTGTGGGGTATACTACTACTAACTACTACGCTAACACGAGGTTGATTGTTGATGCTTGTCATTCATCGAGGTGCATAAGCTGATGACCAGATTGTACCATCCCTGGAATACCTTGCATGATTGTATTGCTGATGAGGATGATGATGTTGTTGTTGTTGCTTGTTACGTCGTTGTTCTTCAAGACGGCCTGCACTTGATGATGGTGGTTTGAGTTCTTCTCCATACTTGTCTCGTGGAAGAGGTGTTGAAGTCAAAGAGTCATTGCTGTAACGTGAATGGTTGTATGGTTGTTGCTTTTTTCCTACATAATTGACGGGTCCATAATCATGTGCATAACGTGAGGCGTAGATGCTGTCGTTTGTGGTCGAGTTCTTGCTGCTGCCGTTATGTGACGATATCGCTGGTGTTTGTGTTGTCGCTGCTGGTGCCGGTTCCTCATCATAATCCATGTCCATATCCACATCCTCATCGATCACAGGCCCACCGGAAACAAGGTAATGACTCGTCGTGGTGGGTTGAACATAGCGAGTTGCTGCTGCTGCAAGTCCAGGATCCACATCCATGCCCTACAAAGAAAAAGAACAATGAATAAATAACTCATAAGGAAACCATCATTTGATGCATACCAAGGATTCCATCGTCTAAAAAAAGAGCGTGAGTTGACTATCCTTATTCATGCCAATGCCATTTATTTACCTCATGAGGAGCTGCCACCTGACCCTTTGAGAGTGACTGTGTGAAATCAGCAAGATCTACCTTGTTCTCGGCTGATAAGGATCGCACATCATGAATCATTGCTTGAATCGCCAGATTACGATCATTGGTCAGTAACGTCACCCGCTTGCCCATGCGATTGTGAAAGAACCTGCATACATCATCCATGATGAATACCACTTTTTTCAGGAACATCCACACACACACACACACTTACAGACAACAATCAAGAATGGAATCATCACCCTTGGACTATGCAAGAAAGCAAACATTAGTTGCCAAGTAGTCACACCATCAAATACACGCATAACCTACCAACTTTGCATTTTCATCATAGATCTCGTAACTCTTTTGACCTCGTAACCATGGTTTCCTTTCACGAAGAGCGCCTTCAATAAATTTCATTGCTTTACGAGCAAGATCACCCAAATCGCCACGTGTAATTTGTTGATGATTCATGCCCTGTTTGCCCATATGAGTACAATGATGATCTCATTGTTCTTCTTCACCTACCTACCTTCAATCCATCCAACTCCTTTACGACGATCCATGGTACCACCAAAACGAGACTTCCATGATACTTGGCTGCTTGAGATGTCAATGTCCGTAAATAAGCAAGGTTGGAAATAAGAAAATTGGTATCTAGGATGGCCACCTGCATAAAAGGTTCGGGCATGTAATCCTGTGCAACTTTGATAGCAAGCACGCGAGTGCGCGTGTGTGTGTGCAATGTGAGTAAAGAGAGAGAACTATCGGCTGCGCATATACACTCAACACCACTTACCAGGTGAACCCTGCATGCCGTGTCTATAATAGTGATAATAGGCACTCAAATCGTCATTGCTCGACTCGCTTGGTGCATGGGTCTGATTCGATGCTTTTATGCCATGAGCTCGATAGGCACTTGTAGTAGAAACCACACACAACGCGCTTCCCCCCAAATTACCGGTACTCGCAGTCGAACGAATAGCAGCGATTTGGTTGTTCACTTCACTAAGAAATTCAGGACCATCAATGTCCATAAGCTCGTCGTCATTGTACATGGTGCGAATAGTGTGGTACGGCGGGTAAACTGAAAGGGAAGGAGGAGCAGCGAACAAGGACTATCTTGACAGCTTGATTTCTATTCAGCTACTTCCGCCAATCGAAATCGTCTTGGAAACCAATGACTTTTTTATTCCTCTATGAACAAACCACCCAACGTCCTATGCATTGTCATATCACAAATTATATGTAAACAAGATTGTTTATAACATTGAGCAAAGGAAAATCATTATATGTATGCGGGTGTGTGTGTGTGAATGTGTGTGTGGACAAGAAGATATATAAACTAAAAGTACTAAGAGATGACATGTGTATACGTGTGTGTGTGTATGTGTGTGTGTGTGTGTGTGAGCAAAAGGCAATTACAGTTCAAGAGAGTATTGTGTGAATTGGGTGAGGCTGTTGATGGGCTGTGTTGGTAGGCTGTCATCCGAGATCCCCACAGTGTCGAGTAAGGTCCTGAAGTTTGGTGAAATAGCACTGCTCATTTCATAGAGCCCCTCAGACTATTAAAAAGGATTAATAAAAGCAGCAACGACTTTGTACATGTGATCATACTTACATCTTGGGCCATCCACGGGTGTCGCAACGCAGCCTCGGCCGTCAGACGCTTCCTTGGATCCACTGTCAGCAGCCCCCTGATCAAATCCTTCGCTATAAAATGGAAACCAAAGCAAATTGAGTTGTCTGCAGATGGTAGTTCACCGCTTTGGAAGGTTACCTTCATCTGAGATACCGTCCCAATATTGTGGAGGGAAATCGTAAAGACCCAGCCTAATTTGATCCTTCATGGATGGAGGTTCGAATTCCTCTACAAAATCCAAACGTGAGCTACATTAAAAAGATGCACACTGGCACCACCATCGCAAAGGCACTTACCATTGAAGGGAGGGAATCCACACAAGCAAATGTACAACATGACGCCAAGACTCCACATATCGCATTCCTTGCCATATGAACGGATACTTGTTGGATTCAACACCTCCGGTGCCACTATCCCAGCAGACACACAGAATATTAGCCATCATGGTTAATAACAAGCTGAAGAAAAAACCGATCCATACCGTAGTTGGGCGTGCCACATTGACTTTGAAGCTTTTCATCTGTCGGCTTGATCTTGGCAAGTCCAAAGTCGGTGACCTTGACGTGTAACTTTTCCTTGTCAACGATCAACACTGCACATAGCATGATTTTAGTATCTCAGTGTTACGTCCTTGGCTCCCTGAACTTACCATTTTCAGGCTTGAGATCGCGATGGACAATATTTTTGTTGTGAAGAAACTAGAAAAAATATGCCCTTCTTTAGAAAATCTCCCTTTTGAATCCATGCAAGTACTTACTCTGATGGCCGAGAAAAGCTGGAGAAACAAAAACCGGGTGGCACGTTCTGAAAGGCTCTTTTCTTGTACGACGTATTCAAAAAGTTCACCATCGCTCACGCTAAATGCAGGGATCCAAAATGAATACGAATGAAAAGGTTCAATGGCTTGAGAAACTTACAATTCCAGCACCAAGTAGATGTACTTTGGTTCGTTGTACACTTTTTCAATTTGGATCACACATGGCTACAACACGCAAAATGATGTCAATTTGACAGCTTATACATGTCGCACAATCATGACAACTCACATGAGCCTCCAGGGCCATCAACACACCCATTTCTTGAATAGTGGATAATAACATCTTGGGCCTGCTTTGGAACTTTTTCTTGTTGATGAGCTTGACAGCTACCTCGCGTTCGCTTTCCTTGTGTTGTGCCTTGAATACAGTTGCAAAATGGCCACGTCCCATCACTTCTCCAACATGGTAGTCTTCATGAAAAGTCTATCGTTTGCATGTTAATCATCATCACGCACGCTAACGCCTTGTTCAATACTTACGTTCACTTCGAATTGTGGTGGCAAGATAATACGATAGACTATATATACAATGAAAGGTATAAGCAACAAAGATCAAGCAAGCACACGTTTGAACACTTACACATGTGTCGAGGGTCATCGGATGGCATTTTCTCCTTGCGATACAGCTGTATATAGTCACCAGAGCGAAGGATACGACGGCGATCATCTGATGCGACACGTTGACCATTGACAAAAGTGCCATTTGAACTAGACGTAGGGTGAGCAAGCAGCCTAAAGTAAACTCATGGATGATGAAACGCACCTCATGTCCTCCAAATAGACGTTGATCCCTTTTTGTCGTCCATTGTTACCACTCTCCTGGGAACACAAATCAACACGCGTTAGTCGCATGGTCCAACGAAACACGTCAACCCCCCTTAAACGCGTGCTTTGCAGACCAATCAACCACCTCATTGACACTGTACCATATAAATGCAACAATGATTCTTGCTCACTTCAGGACGACTTTTGCAGCTACACGACAAGGATCAACGTGAATATAAGGGAAACTCCACCTGAATAAAAGAGCTACTTACATAAAATCACAGTTATCAGCTCGCCCAAGCATATAACCAGTACGTCCCTTGTCATCATAAGTATCGCGATCAAGATAACCAGATTGGCACGTATCAACAAGTGATTGCAAGTAGCCCCATGCCCTTGGATGATCCTCCCACACTGGTGGCTCCGGTGGGTCCAATAGTTTTGGTCTTTGAGCATCGCGCATGGATACAGCAGAAGGAGAAGGTGTCATGGAGGGTTCGCTGCTTGCTGGTGGGCTCACTCTTCTTTCCTTGGTTGGTTGCTCATTGCTTTCTGTTGCTATGGATCGCTTTCGTGAGAGATCGGAATCGTCGTTGAGCGTGGTGGCATTGTTGGAGTTTTGTGTGGTGGAAGAGGAGTCATTGCTGCTACTACGGGTGCTGTCTCCTTTGCTCGTAACGTGCGCATTCTGCGAATCGGCACTGTTCAATGTCATTGTTGTATTGGATTCGTTGTTAAAAGACACAAAGAAAGAAAGAGAGAGAGAGGGTGATACGGTTGACAAGGAAAGAAAGGGCAATCAAACTGCGCTTGCCAACCCACCCGCCCTTTAATTTAATTCTGCAGCTGCGGGAAACGACTTTTTGGCGATCAACCGCTTTGATTGTCACAGCAACAAAATACAATCTTTCTTGTTTCACATAGGATGATTTCTACATATTACAATTTGGCTAATGTCTTTGTGAAATCTAACTGGGCCTCTGTCGTAAGGAAGCTCTTATCAATAGCTGATACCGTAGTACACCCTGCATTGTATAATGTAAATAAAAGGACACGCATCTCGATCCATCACACGCACACGTACCTGCAAGGCCCATGGTCAATCGAAAATCATGACTTATCATGGATAACACTTGTCTAACACCGCTTTCTCCCTATACATTGATAAAATGAGTATTCTCTCTTTGTACGTGATGATTGTAACCATGGTGAAACAATGACACTTGCCTGATAAGCCAAGCCGTACAAAATAGGACGACCAATGAATACAGCGCGTGCACCAATGGCTAATGCCTTGAAAACATCGGTACCTGTACGGATGCCACCATCAAAATACACCTCAACTTTGCTTCCACGGCATGCTTGAACGATTTCAGGGAGCACTTCAAGCTATACAACATGGATCAATATCACCCAACAACCTTCATTGCGCTTTTCTTTTACCGTTGCAGGGGAACTATCAAGCTGTCTTCCACCATGATTGGATACGACAATTGCATCCACGCCATATTGAACCGCCAATTTAGCATCCTCGCCACGGAAAATTCCCTTGATCACAATGGGCAGCTTGGTGATGGATTTTATCCACTTGATATCCTCCCATGTCATACCAGGATACATTTCCCCACTCATATAATCTTCTGCACCATCATTCTCGCTCTCGTAGTTGGCACGTTTGACGTATTGTGGCAATCGGAATCCATTTCGCACCGTGCGTAAACGCGGGCCAAGCCGTGGACGATCGGTGGTAACGACCAATGCTTTGTAGCCAGCTTGCTCACATTTTCGCACAAGCTTCTCCGTTAAATCACGATCCTTTTCCATATATAGCTGGAACCATTGCAATGCATTCTCATTCACCTTGCGAGCTGCATCAGCTACTTGACCAATCCCGTATCCACTATTGCTCGAAAGCGTGTATAAGGTATTCATTCTTGCAGCCCCTAAAATGCTTTAATCAACATTGTATCCACATTCATTGTGTGTTGTGTGTGTATACCTCGAGCAGAGGCAAGCTCGCCATCATAATGCGCTAGGCCATGGTATGCAGTAGGAGCAACACAAATAGGCATGCTGATAGGTTGACCAAGAACGGTGGTTGAGGTGTTTACATTTTCCACATCGATAAGGATTTTTGGACGAATGAGTAATCTAACAAAGAGAGGTTGAGCTTGAGAACAGAGGAAAAAAAGATGACGACTCCTTACTTTTCAAAGGCTTCTCGATTACGACGTAGAGTGCTTTCAGAGCTAGATCCAGTAGAATAATAAGCAAAAGAACCAGGAGCCATGCTCTTGCGAGCAAGCTCTTCAAAATCGTCAAGTGAGGCAGGGATAAATGTCATTTGTGTATGCGTGCGAACCTCCAAAGTAATCTTGTTGGGCTTATATAAAGCATGGTGGGGCGTCCCATCGGAGCAAAAGCCGGCCATTTTTAAGGTTTGCCACCACAGCATATATGGTTGTCAGAGGTCAGGTGGCCAAGACATGTAATGCAAAAGGTATACAAGCACCCAGGAGGTTACATGAATGAATGAACATAGAGACATCGATCTTGATGGTTCCACAACTTGTCAGGTACAAGCAATAGTATAATGAAAATCTCCTCTGCGTGTGAAATGGACACAAAACAACACGCCATCTCGGAATGGAAAACGCATGAAAACGTGAAACCAACGTATCTGTCAATTTTGAAACAACACAATAACTTCAGGTACACCAATGTGCGTCCACGATGTGATACGATACGTGGTGGTATCCCTCCTAATGACTGCAAAAGGTAAATTTATCAATGGTCATAACCCTAAAAGGCTGCGTCTAAACATCTTCCACATGCCTTGTTATGGAACATGGAGATGCCCATCCTGATGAGATGATGTCGGGTGGTTGGCGTATTTTCACATGCAATCTCAAGCATGCACACATTGTTACAATTAAGATGCGACAAATCATGTGTAACAGTTTTCATGTTATTTTGGTTGTGTGTGGACTGTGCGTATACAATGAAACATCGATAAAAGGGTTTGTATGGATATATAAGTATATAATGTGTAATGCAGGATAGAGGATGAATGTGAATATATATGTATGGCTGCTGTTGACTCTTCTTTTTTACATGATGGGAGGTGGCGGTGGCCGTGAAGTGGGAGGTGGTAATTGAGGTGGAAGAACATCTGGTAATCGTGATGGCCGACGACTTGCTGCAGAGGAATGTGTCGATGACGAGGAAGGTGATGATGGTAAATTTGGATGATGATGCTCCATAAGCCGTTGTAAGGTGATAACACCTGGTTGTTTTTGTTTTAACCAGTGGATTGTTTTCTTTAATCTATCGAGCCACAGCTTGAGATCATCGGTGTTGTCGGCTTCGAGATACCATGTCCTGCCATCTTCCTTGCGTTGTATTTCGATGCAATAAAGAATGGATGGGAATTGGTCAGTGACAAAGACGTTGGTATGAGGAGATAGTTCAAAAAACTCTCGAAAGTCATTGTCACATTTATCCGTTTTGAATGTGTAAAGCATTCGATCAAGCAGCAAGACGTATCGACGATGCCGTGTTTTCATAAAGGAAAAGGCGGGTGGCATGTGTTTAGTCATCCACCCCTGCATGATAGCGTGTGGCCATAAGAGAGCAGCATGAGCACCCATAGCAAGTGGACGATAAGAGGCAGGATCTTCAAAGTCAATGTTGGATCGGTCTTGGTGTTCAGGTAACGGTGGTAATCGTCGTCGTGCCTGAGCCATCTTGATACGTTGCTCGCTATCGATCTTCATGGTCAAAAAGTAAAGTGAAGGAAAGAAAGAGTGAGCATGGCAGGCGGCGTCAAAAATGGAGCAAAAAATAAAATATACACAAACAAGCTTTCCCCCACGCTGCATTCACTTCCCACACTTATCCGCAAAAGGCAATCGTGTGATCCCCACGGGAAAGAGAAGAGGCAAGGGCCTTTTCCATTCATGCTGCTTTTTCTCTTTTTCGATATCATATCTTTTTCATCTCGATATCGCACCACGCAATGCTGATCAATAGCCATCTCAATGATCCCATGTCATTGAGGAAAAAGAATACTTGGACTCCTGACCGCGGGAAAAAATGGTGACTAAATTAACATGATCAGCCATGTTTCAGTTCCCATCATCGATCCCTTTTTCTTATTTGGCTTTATCACTCATTAATCGTATACCTACTGCCCCACGCCAAGATGCACAATCCTGGCACCACACGTGGGAGCATCTTGCTGTCATTAATAATAATCCATTGGTTGCTACCACCTTGTGTTGCACCATGGCAACGAAGCTATGCATAAGGCACAGCCTCAAGGATACCATCATTCAATTCATAGCGTTTCCTAGGCAACGAGATGTCTCATTGTCAATACATCAACAAGGCTAATCACACGTGGGGGATACTGTGTGATCGTCTTTGTGCTATATTTATGGCACCATATGCAAGATGATCAAAAATGAAAATGTCATGTACTGAATTGTCTCAGGTAATCTAAACTGAAGAATGCGTCATAATCCCGATACCACTGTAGCCTGTAGTGCAAAAAGAAGCGTTACCAAGATATTGAGACGAGCCACCATCATGTGGGGCACAAGTAAAAAGATTGGATTGTGCGACTGGCTGTGAGGCATTTTCCCTGCGGGGTTAATTGGGCTTGAGCGCTTTTTGCCGTTGGCATCGTATTTAAACAACAGGGGCGATAAAAAATCCACCCACACCCACCTACTTGAAATACCCTCTATTCTACAACCCACTCTATCCTTTTTCTCATTGTTGCATACACACATTATGAATCAGCAACAGCAACAACAAAAACAACAACAACAACGCATGACAGTATCGGAACGACGTGCTACATACCCACTCCAACGCCGATTAAAGATCTACAGCCCTGACACCATGGCACGGCAGTTGAACCAAGAAAAAGCACAAAAAAAGTTGGTTGTGAATGGAGTCAACATTTTAAACAAGTCGTGCCTTGACAAGGATATCATCATGGATCGGATAAAACAACGTCGAGAAACCCACAATCTTGTAGAACGGCGGAGGAGAGACATGCTTGTAAGCTGATGCAGACCTTGAGTGTGTGTGCTGTTCTCTCTTCATTTGCTTATACCCACCACCTCCTCCCCCTCTTCACCCCATTTTTTACTTGGATGGCACACCACTAGAATGGATTGATCAATGAACTTGCCCAAGCGATTCCGTCAAATGCAACATGTGAAACCGAGAAATGCCATCGTGCACAGGTCCTTCGACAAGCAATCGATTACATCCATTCCATACAGCGCGAAAATGAAATCATGCGTGCCCAATTGCAACAACAGCAAAGCATCGACACATCGATCCCACCACCATTATCATCCTCATCGTCTTCATCGACCGTGTCAAATAATCCATCACCAACACAAGATTGACACCCCGTGTATAAAAGGATTGGATCTCTTACCATTGTAGGTGCTGCTGTCTCACTCTTGTACATGATCATTCTTCTTGTAAATGATATTGGTATTATATTTGTGGATCAAGGATGATGTATGTGTATGGGGTCATGCATGTTGGGTATCTCCGCTTATGCGTTGCAGGGGAAAGGAGAGAGGCTGTTGGATGCCACATTGCCAAGAAAAACCTTATTTTAGCTTGGGGACCACATGCCCGGGTTTCCGGGATCTTGTGTGTATTTAGCCATGTTTCACGCAGTATAATGCAATATCAAGAAGTAGAGTCTCATGGTCTGTTCCATCTCGATAATGGACCATGTCAACAAATAGGCATCTCATTAAAGCCTTGGCCATGATGTTAGATACATGGAGAGTGCTTTCTCTTGCTTAAATGATGCATGTTCTTGCTTGTTGTAAAGGATCTTATGCAACCTTGTATAGCAACCTATATCATGTGAGTGTGCTGTTTGGCTATTTTCTGCTTCTCGGAATGCAAGGATACTTTCAGGATGCATCGTGATATGGGTTGCCATCATAACCCAAGGCGACAACGTGTCATAGCGACCAAGCTACATACGCACCCACACATAAAATGCATTAGGCCAAATAAAAGAAAAACTCACAACCATCGAAAGCGATGATCCCAGCAAGCATATGGCAAATGAAAAACAACAAAGCGCCGGTGTAGCTGTGTTTGCTCCAATGCCAGCTATGATTGGATTTGGGATCCCGGTTGCTGCCATTGATCGGCATATTACCAGCGTCCCAATGAAGCCGCGGTATAGCCTATGCATCAGCGTATCACTATAGTTGAATTTACATGCACAATGACTTGAATAGGATCATGGTAAAGACGTTGCAATCCTTTAATAATGAATGCAGATATGGATTAAAGCTGTATACTATATACAAAAGAGAAAGCAATAAGCATGTTGGATGAATGAGCTTATTTGATACAGATGGCGTTGGGAGGGGATGCAACACCCTGATACTTGTTGAGTGGAGCACTGGTAAAGAAGAATTCGTAAACGCCATCACGGGCACAATCCTCGGCGAGCTTGTCAAGGTAAAACATTTCACCAATAGGCATACCCCAACCACCCAAAAACATGGAATCTATATTGCGGTGTTAAGAACAATAGCTGTAACATCAAATCCAAGCAACACTTACGGCAAGAGTTATTCCAATCCTTAGGAGGGAATGCCTCAAAGGGGAAGTTGTCGGCGGCAACAGCGGAAAAGTGATTATTCCAAATCCAGCGGAAAGTATTATCACCTGGTTTGACGCCTGCACAATGAGGATGGTTGATATCCATCATCTTTGCAAGACCTTCACTGCCCACTTTTTCAAATGCTTCCATCCAACCGGTTCTGACCATTAAGATATCACCTTCCTTGAAGGTAACCTTTTGGGCTTCAGCGACTTGTTGCAATTCCTCAACAGGGATCTCGATACGTTCCAAGGGATTATATGCAGGGCGATGAATCTTTGCCCAACGTGCATAATCCAATAGTACAGCGCGGCCTGCAATGCCACGACGAGCCATGTGATGGATACCCAAGCGTTCAGTTTCTCCTTCCTTCAACTCTTCTCTTGATACGCCATTGTAAAACGACTTTGTGGGCATGTGAGCAACGTGGCGAAGACCATCCCATTGTGACGATGCTTGAGGGTTGAAATTATCTAAGCGGTCGTCGTAGCCTGTGTGTTCATCCGTATGAGGCAAAATGGTATGCTTGGTTTCGGCTCTGCCAAAAAGTGGAGGGCTTGGTTTCTCCAATTCCCAATTAAGTGGGAAGACTTTGCCTTCTTTGATGCATTGACTGGCCTATAGTAAAGTCCAGTGGATGATGAGTATTTTCATGCAAAAGGATTGTACCCCTTTTATATATATCTACCTCTGCAACACGTTCAGCTGTCAACAAGTTCAAGGTACCAAGATTGTCACCAGTACCCCACAAGCCCCAAGCTGTCTTTGCAGGATACTTTGGATCGATGGGTAATTGATCATAGGTAGGAAGTGATGATTTGCTCATGTTGATGTATAAAAGGGAAAAGCAAAAGGGGGAGGAAGGAAAAAGAAAACGAACAATGAAACTTGTGGCGGGGGTGGGGAAATGTGGATCATTTTATAGATTGTCGTTTCATTCATCGTTCATCATCTTGTCCCCGCTCGGCTTACCCCTTGCTTGTCCCCAGCAATAGTTCCATGCTCCCCTTTGCTTTCATAAGCGAAATTTCCACGCTGAGAAGACTCCTCCCACACAAACATTGGCGGACATGGTTGCGGGGATTATTCCAGAATGACACTAGTGATGGTAAATTAACATCGGCCCGGCTTTATTGATCATTGATTGTTTTAGAGGGACAAGCAACTGCCAATGTCAACATGCATACTTTCATAGTCGTTGTTATCAAAGTGTGCATCTGCGTGCATCTGCGTGCTTGTGTATGTACATGCATGATCGTTTTTGTTCTTTTTTCCCACATGTGTCAGATGCTTGAATTAGTGAACGATTCACAGGTTGTATATGCATAGATAATCACGATTCCCAGACAAGTAGCGGCGGCCGTGTATTCCGATGTTTTGGTTGATTGATCGTTGCATTGCTGAGTTTTGAGCTTTTTCATTGTGCGATTGGTAGTGTGAGAAGCCAACTTGACAGCAGTGAAATAAAAGGAGGAAGGAGCACCTGGATTATCAAAGTGTCATTAGCGAATGACATCAAAGTGCAGAGACAACAAGGACAAGCGTTCGCTGAATAAAGAATCGACAACGTGGTGTCTCCTAGAATGATATCATTATTCACTTTGCAGGAAAACACGAGGCTACGGTGACGCAAACTTAAATGATCGAAACTCTAATCTTTATGTGTGGGTCTTGCACAACATACATAGCAACGATCTGGAACTTTGCACTCTTCCCACTTTTATGTAGCTCAATGATGATCTCCCATCGATATGTACCACTTGCATACACGAGGCGTCTTTTTTGCTCTGTGCCATGATGCCACGTAGCACAGCCTGGTGCTCTTATTCAAAGTAATACACCACGTTTCAACAAGGATGACAAAAAGTGCCACTGTGTATGGTCGTCGTCTTTATTGACGAGGTCCTTTAATAAGAAGTGCGCGTGCTATTTGAGGCTATTTACGTGTCAAGAGAAAGAGAGATACCAAATCCAATATGCAAAGATCCTTGTCGTCTCAAAAGCTCAAGCTACGTTACAATGCGTGGTATTCGAGTATTGTACTTGTATCGTTGCAAAGAGTGTTGGATGAAGAATGAGGGGCAATTTGACACGCTCAAAGTTGAAGGAAGATTGTCGCGGTGATCACGACTCGATTGAGTGCCGTTATGAACGTTGTTGTTTGGTATTGCAATGCATGATGATGGGTCGGGAAACAACAAAACAGATTTGGGGGAAAGACCAAATGTCTTCAAATTATGCAGATGTCATCGCTGTACGTTACACGCGGCAAGTGATAGATGTATGCCGTATTCTTCTTGGCTTGAATGTCTGGGTAATGTCTGCCAATGGCAAGCTCTTGTACAAACGAAAATCGAATGCTCGTTCGAAGGAATGGTTGATGGATCACGTGTGACTCTGCCTCATCCAATGGGTGAAATGGTGTGTGGTGTGACGCGTGAAAGATCGATTCCAATGCATGCTGAAATAAAAGTGAGTTGTAATTGATGCATTGGATTTCATGAAAGGCGTACCTTCGACCCCATCATAAGTCTTCAGCTATTCCGTGATAGCATCATTAGTTGATTACATACAATGCTGATGGCGCACCTTGCTGATAGTGCTTGTTTGTCGATTAAAGGAGAGCAACGACTCCTCTTGGGAACCTTCGAGTTGTCGTAGCTTGCAACCATGTTGGTGTCTGTATACATGCCACCATTCGCATCCGCTAATATCCATGATTTCGCCTTTGGTCTGATTGCTCCCATATCCTCCTGTTCACAAAAGTTAGCCACCTTCCAATCAAGTATGGTATAAAATGATACTCACGTCGATAGGTCGCAAGGTTCATCGTCTTCTGAATGACCCATATTATGGCCTGTGTGCTTGGATAAGGCGCGACGATCACCAAGGAATACGATTGAACATCCGGCATGTAACCTCCATTTTGTTATGCTTCAACCTCTTTGACACTGGGCCATCAGTAAAAGACGCTGAAGCCGTCATATCACCCCCCCCCAATGCGGGTTGCGGCGCGCAATCTCATCCAGCGTTGCATATGCATCTCGAGAGGTAGCTAAATCAAAAAAGGATATGAGTACATGCTTCATTCAAGCAAGATGATCAGGATCTTACCTTATCCAAAGAGCCAAATATCACAATGACAACAAGAGAATGGAAGTAGGATAACAATGGTGCGTTAAATTGATCATCGCAATATGAGTAAGTACATGGATCGCTCAGAAAGAGGTCCATCCACAATGATACTTACCAAGGGCTTTGAGGTTCCAGCAATCAAAGAGTAGTAGTATGATGGAAGAAAGAGATGTGGAGTAAAACGATGGGCGACAACATTCACCTTGTCCATATTTGCATGGTGGGCGTGGGCATTACTGTAATCACAAACAAGGAGAAAAGAGTTGCTGGCAATGCTGATAGACTGATAAATTGTGTGGCATCTTCATCAGTGATAAGTCTGAAGAGCCTTGGTGTGATTGATTCAAACGCCGGCTTGCGTGATAGCATTTTTGACATGCGTATCTTCTTCCGAGATGTTGTCCAAGTCACACAAGAAAGACATTGTCGCCGTCCTCTTGGTAATCCATCGTACACGAACAGAGGATGCAATTTAGGCAAGTGAATGGCGCCGACTCCCGCTAAAGCAACATGGTCGTCTCCCCGGAAACAATAGAGGACAATGATGACACCCTTGAAGTGCTAAGTGGCAATGGTATCAAGCGACGTAGGAAAGGCCTTCTTTGATCCTGCCAACATTTGCATACCTTTCTTTTAAATCCATTTGCACGTGACCATTCCGGATGAACGCCTTTTACCTCAAGGTATTTTCCAATAGCATCCTTGCTCCCCAAACAAGTGTATCTCCATGCCAACCATAATGCTTCAGCTGCTGTTTCATTGTAAGGCTCATTAATCATGCTAACTTGTTTTGTAGATCCAATACTATGCGTACCAATGAAACGATGCACAATTTTACGACTTGTACTTTGAGATCAAATATCTGCTTGAGCAATACGTAACTGAACGAAGTACAATT